CTGGAAATCACTTCTAGTCAGACTGCCAACCAATCAGGGAGCATTTCTAAAACCAGGCAGCCCAAGTTTCTGAATTCCCTGAATAAAAACCAAAAAGAAAATCCTTGTCATCTTTAAAGCAGCAGCGAGTCAAACATGTCCTGCTTCCCCTTCAGTCTAAAAACAAACATAAACTTTGACCTGCTTATAGATAAACCTGCATGTATACGTGTGTGAATACTGACTGGATGAGCAGTTTGGACCCAGTTTTATTTTCATAACTAAGAAAGGAGCTAAAAGGAGAAGCAGGTTGTTTGAATGTTCAGGTTTTCCCCTGAAAGCTGAAGATGAAGTGAAATCAGTGACATCAGATCCTTAAAGTGTTAGCGTCACACTGGGAACTTTCTTTCCTTTCAATTCATTTAGCATCCAGTAGAACGTAAGAAACAAACATGGTGCTGAATCCTCACCTGGGGGGTGGGCTTCTTCGGCACGTAGCCCCTCCACATCTTGGCTTCCCTAGAGGCGGCGTTCTCCAGGAGAAAAGCCAGCCTCTGGCGTCCCCAGGGTTGGGCGAACTTCATTCTGTCCTCCCCAGGTCGAGCCTACCTCCCCACTGGATACAGCTACCTGCATGCAGACACATCCATGAGAGGCGCACCATGAAGGCTGCAGGTGAGCTTCACGGGTGTCAGGCTCTAGTTTCAGTTCCTTTAAATCAGGTTTCCACATTTATGAACAAAACCCAGCAATGGTTTCCATTACAAAATATCACAGATCTATGCATTTAGATTCTAGATAAGAAGAAACTGTTCAGTGATGTTGATTTAAAACCTGGATGTTGGAGTCTGGGGGTCTTCCTAGTTAAAGCAGCGCTATGTTCCTTTCTGCCACCAGGGGCGCTAGAACCGCCCTGTCTCTGAAGGAACCAGCATCCCTCTGTGTTCTGGTTCTGGTATCAGACCCGTTTGGATCCACTGATCTCTATTTATTCACTGCTGATTGCCAGAAAAAAGTGAAGCCACCGTCCGCCATATTGGTACTCCCCACTACCACGGAGATGCACAGTAAAAATGCCTCCCTGTGCAGGATCTGGCTACAAAAAGAAAGTTTAAATATGTTTATATATATATATATATATATATACTGCATGCATTAGCAGACATGTACTATGTAACTACTATAACAATGTAATAAATCCATGTTTATTACATGTACATCATCAATTTAGCACTTTTGGCTCATCTGTATTATTCTGCTCCATTAATTAACACATTAATTTCATTGTGATGGATTGTATAATATGTTATATTACATGATTTATAGACTTCATAATGACTCTGCAATGTAATGGGCCTAGTCAAAGTAATCTACTGATGCTATGAAACAGCCAGTCTGTGTCAAAGTGATGAATTTATCTTTATTTTAAAAGTCTTCAGTCTCCCTGAAAATGAGAACATCCTCGTTGTTCGATGCTGTAGCGCACAGATTGTTTACATTGAGACCGGTCTAACTAGGGAGTACCAATATGGCTGCTGGTGGCTTCACTTTAACCCTGTTCTACCAACGGCCAATCAGCAATCCAGGGAATAAATAGAGATCCGAGGTTTGGACCAGCAGGTCCAGAATCCTGCAGTTCCTGGTAAAGATTCCTCCTCTGGATGAAATCCACCATCGGAGAACCAGAAACACGTCTGACCAGCTAACAGCTGTTAGCTTAGGGAGCTCTGATGTTTAAGGGGAGACGGATCGACCCTCTGAGGTCACAGAGGGGAGTTTCTGAGGAGCAGCAGAGGAGCATCGGTACGCAGCAGGAGATGAAGATGGAGCTGAAGGATCATTGGATGGATTAAACTAATGCTGGGGTCAAAGGTCACACTGTTTGACTTTAAAGTGAACATCGGAGCTCAGCAGGCTGTCATTTATTCACATTTAATATAACTTTGTTCTGTGTGAACCTGACGTGATCCAGGTTCTTCAGTGGCCTGTTAGAACCTGGATCCATGTCTGAATGTTTGGTGTGAAAAGCTACCGGGAGTTCCCCAAAAACAGTGAACAGTTGGTCATTTAAAGTGCTACATTGATGATTTACATGTAATATAATACATATATTACATAGAACTTTAAGATTTTACATAAAGACTGAATTAGCAGTACATGTCTGTTCAACTTCAGTCCTAATTCAGATTTTATTGGAAAATGGTAATTTTTATTAAATTAAGTCAAAAATATGTAAAATTCCTAAATTATGAACGTAGAAGACATCGAATTTTAATGAAAACTAATTGAATAGAAATTTGACTCCAGGTAGCTCTCTTAATATATTTGAATCTCTTGCCCTGTTTTTTATTTCATGCTTTTCTGGGCCCCCTCCGGACCCCCTGGAACATTTGGTCTAGAACCGCCACTGGTACTACCAACGGGTAATCAGCAATCCAGATAATAGACGGAGACCAGTGACTCAGTAGGAATCCACCTGCGCTGGAAAACACCTGAAACTTTCCGCAGAAACATCTGGAACTCACTGCGCATTTCAACCTGAACCTGACTAACTGCTGGAATACAGCTACCTTTATAGCAACCCACTGCGCAGCTAGCAGCTGACTAGCCGACATTTCGCTAAAAACTACTTTTATGGTTTAGGTCTATAATAAACAGCAGCCTCAGAGGAATCTAATGGGGTTATAGAGAAAAGCCAGACGGTTATATTGTTGTTGTAAACACTAACAACCCCACCGGGGCATTTAAATGTCTGACTCATGTCCAGTAAGTAGACGGAGCCCGGAGGCTTACCTCCCCTGCGAAGCGGAGAAAAACTCGTTTGGGTTTCATCCGGTCCACTCGATCCAGGCAGAGAGAAAGACGGGTGGAATCGAGGACCCGTGCTCCGGTTTAGTCGTCCATCTTGTGTTTTAAGGGTAAAGGGGTCGATATAAAAATATAAAAAAAAAAAATACGGAATATAGACGGGATACGTCTACTTCCGAGGAAGGGACGGGGAGGAAGGAGAGGAGCAGACCCCGCCCACCTGCTGGCAGAGCCAGCGGAGGAAACAATCGCACCCTCCGTTTACAGTTCCCTTTTCTTCATGTTTCTACTGTAAATAAAGCGTTAAATTTAGCAACAACAACAACAAAAATTCCTCCAGTTGGTTTAATAGACCCAGATTTGGTCATAGAATTTAGAACAGGCTTCAATGACTTTAAGATTGTAAAAGGATTTAAACTTTGGCTTTCACCCGCTCATAGCAGACATTACATGTATAATCTTTATTATAGATATACTTTATTATCCAGCTGAGTAGCTGACTATAAAGTGATCATTGTGTTACAGTCTGTGCCTTCAGCGCACTGAGTAAAAGCTGTTACTTAACTTTCAGTGTGCAAAGTAAAAAACAGGGTTACAGAAAAACACGTTTGATTCCATTTTAATTCAGGTTAGTTTATTTCTTTAGCCCAAATTCATTAAGGCAGCGAAAATTCATTGACTGATCTGTTAAATGTTTTCTATCAAAGTAAAATCAGCCGATTCCAGTTATTAATTGAATTCAGTATATTTCTATAGCGCCAATTTTCACCAATTCTCAGCATTTTACAGTTCACCAGATCCTGAGCTACAAGCTGTATCAAAAAAAGAAGGTTTTAAGCCTTAAAAGTAGACAGGGTGTCTGCCTCACGGATTCTTATTAACTCTGCAATCATCAGGGCCATGGAGCCCTCCTCTCTCCACGACCATCGCTTCTCCTGCAAATTTTTTTTAATACGGATATGGATTTTTTTTCAATCCATCATGTATTATGTAATTTTTTCTTAATAATTGACCAGTTGCAACTTCTGACCAAATCAGAAATAATTCAAAACAACCATGGGATGATTAAAGGGTCAAACTGACTAAAACCTTTGCAAAAAACAGCTAAATGGATTAACAGTGATGTCAAAAAGCATTTATGCTTCCATTTTATTTTCACCCTTAATATTTTCAAAGATTTAAAGCTTATATCAGTTTTTATGCTTCTAATTGGTAATATGAAGCTTTAGGATATCATTCCACAACAGAAGAAACTAATCAACCTCAGAACGATACATTTATGTTTGAAAAATCAACAATAATTTTATTCTGGTTTTAGTTTATGTAGCAAAAAAAGAAAAAAAAGAAAAAAAAAAACTACCCCCCATGTTTCCTCCAGGATTAGATCTGTGAAACCTGGAACATGATGCATAGGGAAGAGATTTATCCTTTTTTTCCCCTAAAACTACCAGAACATTTCAGGAATTTATATTTCATTGTAATTCAAAGTGAATTAAAAAAATATATCATTTATTTATTTGGATCTATGCGTGTGTTTCTTTGATGGTTTTAAATTAGTATTTAATTTTTGTGTTCAGTAGCAGAATTTGGGCTGTTTATTTGTTGAAAAATGAACAGAACTTGATAAAATAAACACGTGAAATAAATCAATGTAATACTGGAGTTTCACCTTTATGAAATAAATTACGGAAATTCTGGGTTATATTTTAATTTATTTTTAGGATTTCCGGATTAAATACCTTTTAGCTGGAAGGCGTTTCTTCATTTTCAACAACAAACGGTGTGAAATGGTTTCCAGTATTTTAACATTTAATCTGATGACCAGGATTTCAAAAGTCTTGCTGAAACAGTTGTTAAAAGACTGGCAAAAGCGAACTACGTCATGTAGATTGCGTCAGGGAGTTTTATTCCCCTACACCAATCAAATCAAAGGATTTTGGGCGGACTATTTGAACGAAATAAGCCAGTTGATGCTGATTGGCTAAAGGAAACGTCAGTCACAGGGGGGTGCGTCTCATGTAGCGCCGTTCAGAAATCCCGTCCGTCGTTAGTTATTCATTTTTGGTCACTTTTAAAGTCGAAGACCGACAGAAAAAACGGAGGAACAGTGAACAATGAGATAAAACATTTATTTAAAGTCTTAGTTCATGCGGCTAACCCTCGGAAGGGGGGGTTGCTAGCTCCAAAGCGAGGCTGTGATTGGCTGACGCTGCTTCAGCAGGACGTATGGGCGGAGCTTCTCTGAACGTCAACAAAGGGCAGAAAAAAGAGAAAGGAGGAGCAGAAAAAAGGGTAGAGAAAGAAAGAAGGAATTAACGTCAACAACCGGCAGAAGGACAGAAATGTGGCTTTAAGCAGCAGAAACAGGTAAGAAAAACATTTAACAGATTTAAACTCATCCTGAAAGCGACCAGGTTTCAGCTTCGATGCGGTTTTAGTAAAGAAGGGAAACAAAAACTGGATGATTGTCCCTTAATTAAGGTTAGGTTTCAGCGATAACATGTCAGGGCGTCAGTCAGTCTGTGTACAGGGTGAAATTATTTAGTTTGATCAGAAAATAAATCCCGAAACGACGACGAAGTTAGCTTCCGATTCAGCCCCCCCGAGTGAGAGATCAAACGGTTTTTTTTTTTCTTTGAACCTGGAAGCTGTTTGATCAGCCGCTTTTTCTAACCTGAAAATAACCTGAGATTTATTTTAAATAAACCTGACAGAGATCCGAAGGTTCTCCGAAGAACAGGAAGGATTTCCAACACTGTTTTTTACCCAACAACATCTGGATTATTGGGTAAAAGGACAAAAAGAGGAAACTTTAGTTTTACTTTTTATTTTCTGTCATCACAAAACTGGAAACCCTTTAAAAAACAAAACAAATCCAACTGTTAATATCTTAGATTTTCAGATGGTGATGAAAACGAAGCCAGAAAGAGAAAAATACAGATTCTAGTTTCTTCTTTCTACACTGGTCGGACTTTAACGAAACAAAACAAACATTTCCACCCATTAAAGTTCATGTTTGATCATTTATATTAATTTATCTGAAACATTATTTATCTGAAACGTAATTTATCTAAAATTTACCTTGATCATTAGATGTTTCTGAATTCTAGGCAGAGAAAAAACAGCGGATTGGCCCTTTACAGCGAACGAACCGGAAGCCAACTTCAGCTTCGTTCTTGGAATAAATTCTCAAGTTTCAAAAAAACAAGTCTATTTTTCAAATTTTCTTTTAGATTCTCGCTAAATGTGTTATTAACAGGCCGGGGTGTGTGACTGTAGGAGCTTAAAGTGAGGGAATGTTGTCGTTTCTGCTGAAAGCGGACGGGCGCCCCTCCCCCCGCTCAGACTGGAGGATTTAAAAACAGCAACAAACGGTTCAGCTCAGCCCGATGGTTCCGGGTCCATTTACTCCTCCAACCCGGGGGGGGGGGGGTGGGCTGAAACGGGCTCAGGTTGGTTAAATAGGAGCAGAAAGGTTGTTTTAATGAAGCAGGTTTTGGGTCAGAAGGAGAAACCTGATACAGGAGCCCAGCTGGGTTCAGGGGCCCCTGAAGGATCATTGACAGAGTTACATCACAACCAGGCCGTACCTCAACCAAGCGGCTGCTAAATCACCAGCTGCTGGCTTACACTCCTTCGAAGTTCACATTCTGGAAAGTGTGGATGGCATTTATTCAATTCAATTCAGTTTACTTCTATAGCGCCAATTTACATCCTGTCATCTGAAGGCACTTTCCAGTTCACCAGATCTGAGCCAGCTCCCATGTCAGAGGATGAAGAGAGCACATCCAGTAGTCAGTCAGAGAAACAGGACTACACTGGAAAACAGGCCAAGCTCCAACATCTAGAAACAAAGGTGTTGATGGCAGCAGCACAGCTGATATTTCTCTCCAGGATGGAGTCACAGCCAAACAGGAACAGACCAGATGAAGCTACTATGAGAAAAAGCAGAGAGAGCAGAACGTTAGAGATTGAACTAACAGATTCTGCAGAGTGGGAGAATAGAGATAGAATGAAGCAGAATGATGAAAAAGGGGTCCCTATGTCCTCCAGCAGTCCTTCACCATGGTGAAGCATGGCGGCGGCGGAACACTAACGTCTCCTTTCTTCCCTGCAGTGTCTGAACCGTTGGGAGAAATAGACTTAAAGATGGACGCCGTGAGGCTGATGAAGGAGCTGAAGGTGAACTGCGAGCAGGAGGCTGACTTTCTGCCAAAGGAGACGGGCCTGAACCTCATCGTCTCCGCCCAGCAGGTAAGGGACGCATCAGGAAAGTGAAACCTTCTCAGAGGGACCGGCATGAGGCCAACCAGTGCTCCTCTGGTTCCCAGAGCTCCAGTCAGATCTCGGCGCGCTGCAGAGACACCAAGGTGGAGGACCTTTGGAGCCTGACCAGCTTCTTTGGTTACAGCGCCCGGACCTTCGTCCTCGCCGTCAGCCTGCTGGACAGATTCCTGGCCATGATGAGGGTACGCCGCCGCCGCGGTCGTCTTCAGCCCGAGCCGCCTCACACGGTGGCCCCGTTCCTCACCTCCGTCTCTCCTCCCTCCCTGCAGGTCCAGCCCAAACACCTGTCCTGCATCAGCCTCAGCTGCCTCCACATGGCGGCCAGAGTGACGGAGGAGGAGTGCGACCTGACGCCGGTGGACGAGCTCATCCGCATCGGCCAGTGCCGCTTCACCGTCTCCGACCTCTGCCGCATGGAGAAGATCATCGGCGAGAAGCTGAGCTTCAAGTCCAAAGCTGTGACCGCCTTAACCTTCCTGCAGCTGTACCACCAGATCACGCTCACACACGCCACCTGCAGGTGAGGCTGCGAGCAGCAAACCTTCGCTTTCCACTAAAATCACATCATCAGGAACTAAATGAGCAGAAATTCCTTCGATGTCTGATAAAATTTAAAATGAAAACCAGCTAAAGCTTCTGTAGACCCTTCATGGTCAATAGACACGTGCAAGACGTCAAAATTAGCCTTTATCCCTTTAGTTTTGTACGAATATTAGACTTTACACCGCCTCAGGGCGAGTATCCCTTTAATCATCAATAATAATCATCATGGTCAGATCGCCATACGCTTCAAAAAACACCAAAAAGTAATTAGTTTCTTTTTATTGTACATGATTAAAAGGATACACGTCTGTTAAGGTAGTTTAAAATCTTTATTTCATAGAAAACTTAAGTAATAAACTAAAGGGATAAACTGGTATGCTGGTCTGACTGGGTATGCTGGTCTGACAGAACTCCGCTCCGGGTGATTTCAGCTGATCAGAACCCCAGTGGGCCTCAGCAGATGGCCGCTCACACTGAGCCTGGTTCTGCTGGAGGTTCCTTCCTGTTCAAAGGGAGTTTTTCCTCTCCACTGTCGCTACAAGCATGCTTGAATCAATCTGACTGGATCATCTGCTGTATTGTAAAGTACCTTGATGTGATGTGAACTGGCGCTTTATAAATACACTGAATTGAACAGGATGGAGGCGCTGAGCCTGGAGAAGCTGGAAGCTCAACTCAAAGCCTGTCTGTGCCGCATCTCCTTCTCTAAAGCCAAGGTAAGGATCCACACACCCTCAGGAGGGGGAGGGGGGAATGGTCGCTCCGTTCGGACGGCGGCGCTGATCCGGTCTCTCTCTGTCCTTCCTCCCAGCCGTCCATCCTGGCTCTGGCCCTTCTGAGGCAGGAGATGGAAACCATCGGATCGGAGGATATGCTGGAGATCGCCTTCCACATCCAGAGACACCTGAAGGTATGTCAGGGGGCGGGGCCTAAAGCCAACCCGCTGAACCAGTTCAACCGAGTCAAACTGAAACTAAAAGCCGCTGACGTCACGCCGGTTCTTGGAAATTCCAGATTCTTGGAGGAGCAGCCGATTGACCCTCCAGGTGCTTCCAGCCCGGTGGCCTCATGGCCCTAAACTCTGCTGCTCTCCCCTCGCAGGTTCCCGACGCAGAGCTGCAGCGCTGGAGCGAGCGGGTGGCCCGCCGCCTGTCGGACTACGCCTCGCCCAAATGCAGCAAGCCCAACCACAGGAAGCTGCAGTGGATCGTGTCCCGGCGCACCGCCCAGAGCCTGCACAGCCACCGCAGCGTGCCGGAGCTGTCCACCATCCCCGAGGACGGCTGGGATCAGAGCGAGAGGTCAGAAAACGACGATGCGCTGTTCATCAGCACACCATTGTTTTGTCAGACCCCTCTAGCACTTTGATTTCTAAAAAGCTCCTGGCGCCAAATCTAGGGACTTCAGAGGGCCCCCTGCCTGTCTTTGCCTAGGGCCCTAAATTTCCTAATTCCGCCCCTGGGTTTAACTGGGCTTTACCTGAGACACCATCAGGAGGAGGTCCAGAAAACCAGAATTTCAGCTCCTGATCAGTGGAACCAGTTGCATTGAATGATCAGAATGTGATATAGATCTATGGTGTTAGAGTGACGTTCTCCTCTGTTTCCTCCTCAGCGAGGACTCCTCTGAAGACCTGCTGAGTTCAGGAGACGAGGCCCTCAGCAGCTCTCTGGGCAGCGACGCCGAAGGAGCCTTCTTCCCTCTGCACCTCGGCCGCTAACGGCGGCGCCGACGCCCGGACCCCCAGCCCTCCCCCCTCCTCCTCGTTTGAACCCCACCCTGCAGCCGACTGCTAGATTAGGCCGTTGGTAGACTCGTTTGTTGCCATAGAGATGTGACATTCCAGGGTGCAGCGTGTGCAACTCCGGGTCGTCCTGTTCATCCCACCAAATGTCTACTTTTCACCTACGACTGTTTCTGTGAAGCACAGCAGAGGAAAGCGGCAGCTGTGGTTCTATTTACTCTACATCTAGAATCTGATGAGGATGATGGTGCTGCGAAAAGTTTGTCCACCTCCTGATGAGTCCTCGGACCGCCGCCGCTGCTGCTTTTCCTTTCTTTCTAAGTTTAATTTGCACAGTTTTTATTTTTAATCGTCAGTCTGAATCGAGTTATTAGGATGTGTGTTTAACCTGTGATCTGCTAAAGATGCTAATGCTAGGATGTGGCTAGTTTAAAGGTCAGAATGTTTGAAGCTAAATAATCCTTAACGTGTCAAAAAAAGTTAAAAAAGTTTCATAGAAAAAATGTAAAAACTGTAAATTATGTATAAAAAAATCTATTAATAGTTATTTGTAGATAGTTATTTATTCTTTTTTTTGTCACATGTCCTGAAAAAGAAAAACCTTATAAAAAATCTATTTTTAACCTGTTGTCTGCTGGTTTTTTCATTTCCCTTCACTGTTAATTCCATCAGAAGAGAAAAACTCGTCGGGTTTGTCCAAAATGAGCCACCTTAGTTCCTTCAGGACTTGTGGGAAACTTCCTCTGCTGCCTTTTGCATCTATGCTTCTTTTTCTATGTCTGCTTCTGTCTCCTTGAACCCCAGTGGGCCTCAGCAGATGGCCGCTCACACTGAGCCTGGTTCTGCTGGAGGTTTCTTCCTGTTCAAAGGGAGTTTTTCCTCTCCACTGTCGCTACAAGCATGCTTAGTGTGAGGGATTGCTGAAGAGTCAATGAGTCGATGCAATCAGCTGGTTTTCCTTAGATAGAAAACATTGAATCAATCTGACTGGATGATCTGGTGAACTGGAAAGTGACCTGAGATGACATGATGTGAATTGGAGCTATAGAAATAAACTGAATAGAATGGTGTTGAAGAGACGATGGCCAGTTTGACAGAGCGACAGGTTTAATGAAATCTGGGTTCTGGACTAATGAAAAGACCAAAGAGCAATCCTTCAGGTACCAGAACGGGTCCATTATTCAGGCAGCCAGATCAACAGAACCAAGGAACCATTTCAGAGTTCTGCCATCAGTCATTCCTCAAACCATAAACCATGATCACAGCTCTGAGACGCTCTACGTACCAGATCTGCTCAGGCCCTGATTCACTGATGTTATGCTATAGCAGAGGTCACAGATTAGCGATCCGGATCCAACCTGATTTAAAACATTTATAAATTAATGCATGTTGTCCAGCGACAATGTCTAACTTCACTTGCGCCTCTTCTCCTGTTAATACGGTAAAGCCCTGGGGAGCGTCCGGCTCCAGGCTGCACGTGATCCAAATGAGCCAATGAGCTGTCAGTCTGGGTTGCTGCTGCTGCTACTTTTAGACACAGCAGGCAAACCTGTGGCAAGCCGGGCGATGGGAAAGAAGGAGAAGACCATGAGAAAAAGAGAGCAGAGAAAGTGTGGACTGCTGGAAGAACTGCGGTGAACTGGTGAAAGAAAAGTGAAATGGCGTGCTCAAAGATGACCCTGCACATTTAGAGGATGTTTGGCTCAACCTGCTGCTGTGAAGCAGGATTCTCCACCATGAACAGAATCAACAATAAATCTGGATCCAGGCTCAGAATGAGCTCCTTGATATGTGCTTGAGAATGGCTTAGTCTCCGGTTAAACCCAGGTTTAAAGCCTTGCAGGGCAGCCTAAAGCCCACTGCCAACATTAAGACAGAAAAAAGAAAGAAAAGAACAAACCATCAGTTCAGGGGTTTGAGAAAATATGGGAATCAGGAAATTCTCATATTTTCTTGTGATTTATTCACATAATCAGGAAATATACCAAACTGAATGATTGTTGTTCTCTGTTTAAATCTATTTAGATTTCAAAATGGAAACATTTTCTAATTTTTTTTTTATTCAATGTATAACATGGAAGCATAAACACCTCATTTTATTTCAGTGTTAAATTCAGTTTAAAGCAACAGATTATTATTTAAAAATGGACCTTTACTGGTTGATGATTTCCTTCATTCAGACCTGCTGATTTGATAATGTTGCCACATGATGTAAAACATTGTGGTTGCCTAGACGATGATAATATCACGCAGGGCGTGCCGAGTCAGTAGCATCTGTAGCGTTAGTGTGTCTAATGACCGATAAAGTTTTACCTGATTGATAACAAAATTGAAAAAAAAATCTATTTCTAGAGAACAAAGTAGCTGTTAGACATGATATAAAGAGCTGGGTAACGCTGTGGCTAGCTGTGTTAGTAGCTAACAGGTTAGCCTATTTTAGCTCGCTCAGTTAGCCACATTAGGCTACAATTTAACTTTGTGTCAACAACTGTTTGTTTTCTACAAGTAGAATAAATGTTTTATTTGTCTAAAATCTCTATGAAAGTCATTTTTAAGATGTCCTATTTGTCCTCCTCTGACCTCAGATCTTAAAAAAAAAAAAAAAATAAGCTGAGACTTTTAGTGTCTCTTTGTTAAAGGAATAGTACACCCAAAACATGATTAGCCTTCATTTTCTACTCACCCCCATGCTGAACAACACTCTGGAGTACTTTTTTGATATCTCAAACGCATCTGGAGATCTGGGAGGCAGACCAAACCAGATGAAAGTGCGCATTCAGCGTCTGCTCTGCCGATAATGCAAGCGTAGAAGAAGAAATGTGCTGTTTACCTGTGCAAAGAAAGAAACAACGAAAGAAAAATGTCTGAGGACTTCAGTGTTGAGGAAGAGCATGAGTTCTTTGCCGAGCTGAATGCGCACTTTCATCTGGTTTGGTCTGCCGCGGTTTCCGTAGACTCGTGAACGCGCTTTTAGGAAATCCTATACACTACTGTTTATGCTCTAAAAACATTCTAAATGACTTCGTTTCGAGTAAATTCTGGATGCTACCCACTCAGGACACTTGGAATACATTGGACGAGCAGTATGGAGGAATATTGACACGTTTTTTGTGGACTTTTATGGACCTTTCTGCCTCGGGCGCCATAGACCTCCATTATTTGAATGTCAGCAGACAGCAAGAAGCCTCCCAGATCTCCAGATGCATTTGATATATCAAAAAAGTACTCCAGAGTGTTGTTCAGCATGGGGGTGAGTAGAAAATGAAGGCTAATCATGTTTTGGGTGTACTATTCCTTTAAAAAGCAGAGCTCAGTCTATCTTATAGCAGGATTTTCCTTCCAGATTAAAAAATTATTGTTTTTTACTTTCTGCTACTTTAGATCGACGATGAAACGTTAAATAATCGCAAATAAAGGGAATAATATGTTAAGTCTCTAAAAAACAGATTTGATCCTTAAGAAACAGGAGTGATACAGTTTGAGTGGAGTTGCCATATGTTGATGTCATAAGAAGGGGCGGGGCCCCGAGCAGATCTGGTAGCTAAAGCGGCCTGCAGGCAAAACAGCAACAACAAGCAGGAAATCTGGAACTGACAGAATTTATGCTTTTCTGGACGAATCAGAGAATCTCCAATAAACTTCAGCACAGATTTATTTTCCTTTTTCTATTTCAATATTCTATTTGAACAGTGATAAAAAGTCAGGACTCAAAGGGAAGATCTATTTTGACCCATTTCTGACCTAAACATTGTTTTCCTGGGATCATTTCCATCATCATCATCATCATCATCATCATCATCTCAGGCAGATTTTTAGGCTTTTAGCCAGAACCTGATCTGCTGTTAGATACCAGCGTTAGTCGACATGGCAGCAAAATCCAGCAGGATTTCCTCCTAAACTAAACTCTCTGCTCTCTCGTGGTTAAACGGTCCGTCTGACGCTGATCAGACCTTTTCTGATCCCGTTCTAACCAGCCTGCAAAGGGGAACAGCGAGTCCGGAGTCGGTTTTTATCGTCAGGCACACGTTCAGCTGTGGATCCAGTGAACTTTGGCTTCTGCACCTTAAACAGGAATCAGCTCTCAGAGCCAAACAGACAACAGAGCCACCCGAGTCCTACCGCAGCAGCCGGACGCCATTCTGCCTCCTCCGCCGTCGGGTCCGACCATCAGCGCGGTCCGTTTCAGCGTCCAGCTCCGTTTCAGAGGTGAAAAAATATATAAATCCCCGAATAATAAAAAAACCAAAGAGCAGTTCCAATCAGAATCCCATCCGAGACTTCTTCCTTTTGGGCTGGGACGCCTGTGATGGCCCCCGCTGGCTCTGTGAGGCCTGGGAGGACGGCAGAGACCCGGGGCTCGGTCTGAGGGAACCGGACTGGGAGCCGGGGAACCAGGAGGAGGGGAGCGGCTCCTCGCTCTGCGGCGGCGCGTCCTGTGAACACAAGAAACAGAAGCAGTCAGTGGAAACGGCGTCCGTTTGTTCCAGACAGTCAATGTTTGGTTCAGTTCTCTGACCCACAGGAGGGACCCTGCCTTCAGTACAGGTGTTCTGTCAGGTGAGCATACCAGTCAGACCAGCATACCCATAGTCAATACCAGCTTTTCCCTTTAGTTTTGAATGCAATATAGACTTCAAAATACATCAAAGTGCGTGTATCCCTTTAGTCATGTACAAAAAATAATGCAATTACTTATTGGTGTTTTTTTATCACCCTCAATAGTTTTTTTCCGTACAAAACTAAAGAGATAAATGCAAATCTGACATCTTGGGCATGCAGATTAGCTATGGGTATGCTGGCCTGATGGGGCATGCTGGTCTGATCCACCAATCAGATGATCTTTCTTGCTTCCTCATCAACTATTGAGAGAAACTAAATGCCTCGGCTCTGCCCCCTGCTGGAATAAATGAGATCCTACAGCAGACCCACTGGGAGCTCTGGTTCCAGATCAGTGGTGTGCCACCTGATCTTCTAAAAAAATGGTCCAAAGTTGAGAGGACCGCGGCAGGCAGCGGAGCTCCGAGGGTAACCACAGACATGGCTACCGTTAGCCCGTCTGCAGCAGCCAGGGCTAACGTTAGCCCGTCTGCAGCAGCCCTCTCTCTGCATAGCCGTGTGTGAAGGACCGCTGGCTCTGATGGAGGTTTGATTGTTTTATTTATTTAAAATGTTCATTTGATTTCTGTTTATCTGACTGAGTTCATCATTATTCCTCCACTAAATGAAAAAAGTCATAATTTATTATTATCTAGAGACTATTAATAACAGGAGGTGAAATGCAGCCCTAGTAATCGCTGCATCCAGCAACCACGCTCTGAGCTGACAGTCAGGCTATTGCTGCTCCTACATTGTTAATGTTCTTTGTGTCGTTCTGATCATGTGAACGGAGGCAGAGAGAATCGAACAGATTAAAGTTGGACGGATTCCTGTTTAAACAATCGTTTTCAGCGTTGACCTTAAAAAGCAGAGCGCTTTCTCTCCTTCCTCACCTGCGTTCCCCACACGGAGCTCAGGAAGTCGTCCTGCGGCCTCCAGCTCCTCTGATTGGCTCTCGGGGTCTGGGGGGTGTTTGGTTGGGTTGGGAGCAGGGGACGGGGCCTGCTGGGAGTGTATTTCTGAGGTGTGGTGGTCCGGATGGGGTCTGGGGTCGCCGTAACGGGAAGCGTGCGGTCTTCCTCGCTCTGCAGTACCGCCCCATCTTCTTCGTCCGACAGCGTGCCCTGGCTGACGGCGGAGGACCAACCCGTGGACTCGAACGGGTCGTCCAGGTCCGTCTGGTAGCTGACGGACGAGGTGAAGCTGCCGCTCAGCTGGAAGCGGCGGCCCTCTGCCCTCCGCGCCTCCTTCTGCATCCTCCTCTTCCTCCTCAGAGCGTCTGCCTTCATCTTCCTGTTTGTGCCCAGCTGGTCTCGCCACCACGCCTGCCACTCTTCCTCTCCCCGCCACGCGGCCGTCAGCCGGTCGCTGAGGGCGTCTGTCCAGGCCTCTGCGTTCACCAGAGCAGGAACTGTTAAAGGTACTTTAATGGAGGCAGAGTCGTTCAGCAGCAGCGAGCGCCGCCTCATGCAGCCCTTCATTTCCCGCCTCAGCGGCTCGTCCAGCTCGCCTCCTGCATCTCTGTCGGCGGCTTGCAGCAGACCGGCAGTTTGGACCACAAAGTTCTGCGGCCTGACGGTCTCTGGGTTCTGACCCGTCAGCCTGAGCTTCTGCAGCCAGAGCTTCCAGGTCTCAGCAGTGGAGCTGCTGATGGTTAGTGGCGCCTCCCAGCAGGAGCTGCGATCCACTTCCTCCCCGCCACAGACCTCTGCATCCAAACCCGGTTCGTCGTTGAAGGCGACCGGCATCTTCTTCCGAGTCCCACTCTCGTCCTCCGCCCCCTCCGTGGAAGAATCCAAACACACAATCCTGTCGGGCGTTTCTGGCGCCGCTGTGATGATGTCGCCATGCCTTGCTGGGTCGGAGACCTGAACCTGTTCTGATGTCTGCGCCTCCGGAGCTCCGGATTTGTCCTCCGCCGGCGGGCGGCGCTCCAGGATCTGATAGAAAATGTCTCCCACCTCCGTCAGCTGCAGGACGCACAAGCTGAAGTCCTCAGCTCCGCCTTTCTTCTGGAAACACGTCAGACCTGAAAACGTAGGATCAGGCTCTTAACCGCACTCATCTTTAGTTGAATGTATGAACAACAAACAAACGCAGCTTTAGCTCCACCTGAGGTGCCGTCAGAGACAGAAAGCTGAGCTAACCTGCAGCGGGGGAAGCCAGTCTTTGGGCCGCGGCCTGCTGGCGGTGGGGGATCTGGACGGGGAGGTGTGTCAGACTGTCTGTGGGCCTGAGGAGAGCCTGGGGAGCGCCGCGGCTGGAGCACGCCTCCAACCGACCTCCTGAACAGACGAGAACAGAGAAGTTCAGTTCTTCCTTCTAGTTAGAGTTGCTCAGGTTATCCTGAGCTATCTCTATAGTTCTGCTGCTATAGGCTTAGACTGCTGGAGGACATAGGGACCCCTTTTTCATCATTCTGCTTCATTCTATCTCTTTTTTCCTCAGATTCTAGATGTTGGAACTCTGCCTGTTTCTCAGTGTTTAGTTTTCCTCAGCAAACCAAACTAACTGGATGATCTGATCCAAGGCTACGTTCACACTGCAGAAATACGATTTTTTTTGCGTGGTCGTTAGCATTTCCAAATATGTGTGACCCGTATGTGATCTCCTGTGTGAACTGCATTCATAAAGCTTAAGTCTCCCGCATGCGCAGTAGAGAACGCAATGACGTCACAGGCCAGCGTGTTCAGTGTTTACGAAGGTAAACATGGACGGTAGCGCTGGAGCGCATCTAGCGATCTTTCCCAGCCTTAAAAATTCAAACTTTTCAAGACGGTTAAACGTAACTACTGCTCTCCGCATCATCGTTCGCCATAGTTGTTCAGTTTCTTGCTGCTTCTTCATAGCAAGACGCAGAATAGTGATAGAATAGTTTTGTCGGGTATTAATGGCGTTCAGATCGGATGAATGCGACCCGGCTGTTCAGACACACAGCTCGCATTTGAAAAGATTGGATTCTTATCGGATTCATTGGAATGAAATCGGATCCGTGTTGTTCAGACTGTCATGAAACGATCAGATCCAGGTCGCGAATGGGCAAAAAAATAAAAATATATCGGGTTTAGGTCCCTTCAGGCTGCTGTGTGAACGTAGCCTAAATGACAGGTTCAAGGCTCGCTTCTGGAAACGTGAACCTCATCGGTTCCATGATCATTTCCGCAGGATCCTTTTCTGGAACAGTCGATGACAGACCCTGACATTTACCCCATTTACACCACCCTTAAAAAAACGATCCATCCCAGACAGGTCAGAGCTCGGCCTGGTTAACTGATCCGAGCTCGGTTCTGACAACTGTTTACACATCACTCCATCTCGGTTCCTCCCCTCCTAGTGACGATCTGCGGTATTACTGCCAGTATTGAAGGAGGAAACCAAGCAGTTGGTGGCGGTAATGCACCAAAAGTTGTTTGCCAACCGCCATAAAACACAAGAAGAAGAAGACGAAGAAGGAGGGAATCAAGCAAATCAAAATGACGGCGCCCGTCACATTCAGAAAGTTATGCTTGATTATAGCCGGGTTTCAGTCACGTGATGATTATGACGCGGCCAGGGGGCGCGATTTCAGATGGAGGGCAGGAAGTCTATGAAGTTAGTGTAAACACGGAGGAATCCGACTTCCGGTTTGCCATGCGGACAGGGTAGACGTAGCAACGAACTGCTCCAGAACAATTCAACCTTTTAACTAAATTCGCCCCACGGAAAGTTAATTTTGCGTCTCCCAGCGATACCAAAACATCTTGAACTGTGCTTTTGTTCAATTATTCACTAGTAATGGCCAGCAAAAGCGCGAAAGGAGGGAGGAAAGAGGATGCTAGCTTAACGCTGGAGGCTATCACCGCACTGCTTCAGCAGCATAGGGAGGATCTGAAATCCGAGTTCAAATCTTCTGCCAACATGCTTAGCTCCAAGCTAGACCAGATGCGGCAGACCCTGGAGGAACAAGCAGAGCGAATCTCCTCCTTAGAACTCGCTACAGAGGATCTGAGCCAGCGAGTGGCTAACCTCGAAGACTCGTGTGCTGCTCTCCGTGAAGACAACGCCAAGTTAAAAGACAAAGTCACTGACCTGGAGAGCCGCAGTAGACGACAGAACATCCGCATCCTCGGTCTCCCTGAAGACACTGAAAGTGGGCGCCCTACTCTTTTCTTTTCCAACCTTCTCTGCGAACTGCTCGGGAAAGAGGCGCTCCCGACCCCACCGGAGCTCGATAGGGCGCACCGTTCCCTGGCAGCTAAGCGACCCGCGGGACGTCCACCTCGCTCGGTTATCCTTCGCCTGCACCGATACCAGACCAAGGACCTCATTATCCGGGAAGCCGGGAGGAGAGGAACGCTGGACTACAAAGGTGCATCTGTTCGTATTGTGGAAGACTACAGCCCAGACGTCCTGGCCCGACGCGCGGAATATAAGGATGCAATGGCGGAACTCTACAGGCGGGGGTTGAAGCCGGCTCTTCTCTTCCCGGCCCGTCTTCGTATTACGCAACCCGGCGGTGCCAAAAAGTTTCTGGGCTCGGTGGAGGAGGCGCAGCAGTTCATCAAGAGGCTCCCGAAACCACCAGAAGACCAATAAAGGAGCAACGCTGTACTGAGAGTTCACTACATAAAAACAGGCGGGCTGGTTTTCTTCAGGGCGCAGTAGGTACTGTAAATACAGCCTGTTAACTTAACATATTATTATTATTTTTTTTTTACAAATTGACCTATTCTGGCCATCCCTTTTGTTGGTATTGGACTTTATGAATGAAGGAGCAGCTCTAATAACACCGGTTTGTTCTGTCCCAATAGTGTCGGGAGCCTCCTTTTATCTGGTGTGGTAGCTTAATTTTTTTTTATTATATTTTTGCCACATTACTATTTTCCCTTGGTGTGCTCGGTGGCCAGTAAAGTACAAGATAAATATTTACGTTGGGGTGGGGGGGTTTTCTATTTCATGCCCACTAGGAGCAGTTGTTGGTTTTATATTGACAGCTGTTTTTTCTTTTTTCTGCTAATCTGAGGTTGTTGATTACTGGAAGATTCGATTTTTGAGAATGTTAATTTTGAAGAGCTTGCTGCCATGTTGTTGTTTGTTTGTTTTTTGTTCGGCAGCTGTTTACGTTTGGAGGGGGGGCTTAGGGGGGAGGCTAAGGTCACAGCCGGGGGTTTCGCATAGTGCTGTAACTGTTCTTTACATCTTTTTTTTTTTTTTTTTTCTCAATCTCTGCCTGCCATACTGTTATTATACCTATCAAAGTAAAATAGCACCTAAACTTTGAGACCATGAGTCGGTATTTAAAATTTCTAAGTTGGAATGTTAAAGGTTTAAACCACCCAGTGAAGAGAAGGAAGGTTTTCTCTCATATTAAACGATTTAATATAGATGTGGCATTTCTTCAAGAAACTCACATCAGGAGCTCGGACGGAGGTCGTCTTCTGACATGCTGGAGGGGACAATGTTTTCATTCCCATTTTCAGGTTAAGTCACGAGGGGTCTCCATACTTATCAGCCAGAATACTCCGTTTGAGGCCGATAATGTGGTGGCTGATAAACACGGCCGATTTATAATGGTGAGTGGGAAGCTGCACGACACTCTGGTTGCTTTGGTCAATGTTTATGCTCCCAACATCGATGATGAGAACTTTAAGCAACTATTCTCTTCATTACCAGACCTCAATAAATACTCACTGGTCCTCGGGGTTGATTTCAATTGTTGGCTGGACCCAGCTTTGGATCGCTCATCCCTTAAAAGCAATGCCATAAGCAAGTCTGCATCAGTTATACAATCCTTTCTATCTGAGTATGGGCTATGTGATGTGTGGCGAACTCTAAATCCCAATAAGAGGGACTACTCATTCTTTTCACATGTACACAAAACATATTCAAGAATTGACTACTTTATCATGGATGCAAAATGGCTACAGCAGATACGTTCCTGTGACTACCAAAGCATAATTATTTCAGACCACGCCCCACTCACTATGTCCCTGTCCCTTCCCCATCTTCCCCTAAGAACTGGACAATGGCGTTTTAATTCAACTCTGCTGTCAGATGAAAACTTTGTAAAGTTTATTCAAGGCGAGATACGTTTCTTTTTTGCTACCAACTCCTCCCACGAAACCTCCAGCCTCGTGGTATGGGATGCCTTTAAGGCCTACATCAGAGGCCAGATTATTGCTTATTCAGCAAAAATTAAAAAACAAGCCACCTATGAACAGAACAACCTAACGCAGCAAATCAAAGAGATTGACATAAAATATGCTTTGAATCAATGTCCAGAACTGTTTAAAAGACGGGTTGAACTTAAAACAAGGCTTGACCTATTGACAGCACACTCAGCCGAACGCCTGCTTTTACATAACAAATCTAAATTTTATGTGCATGGTGACAAACCTGATAAACTGTTAGCAAACATGCTCAAGGGTTCTAGGGCAAGGCAAACTATCTCCAGAATTCGAAAACAAGACGGTAATGTAGTCACAGACCATTGTCAAATTAATGATGCATTCAGGGACTTTTATGAGGAGCTTTACAGCTCACAATTACAAACCAATTCTAACATGACTGATGATTTTTTAGCTAAGCTTCACATTCCTGTAATCTCACCAGAATTTAAAAATAGGCTGGATGAACCTATTTCTCTTGAAGAAGTATCCCTAGCAATAGCCTCAATGCAACCTGGCAAATACCCAGGACCGGATGGTTTCCCTGCAGAATTTTTCAAAAAAAATTTCAGATTTACTCTCTGTGCAGCTCAGCTCTACTTTTAGTGACTGTTTTAAACATGGATCCCTTCCCCAATCCTTCTACGGAGCTTGTATCACACTTATAAAAAAAAGGCAAAGATCCAGTGGAATGCACCTCTTACAGACCTATCTCCCTCTTAAATACCGATGTGAAAATTCTGGCCAAAATTCTTTCCCGTAGACTTGAAGCGGTTTTACCCTCAATTATTTCCAATGACCAAACAGGCTTCATTAAAGGTCGGCACTCATATTTTAATATTAGAAGACTGCTCAATATCGTTTATTCTAGTGCCACGGATTCGGCTGAGTGTGTGGTCTCTCTGGATGCCGAAAAAGCCTTTGACCGGGTTGAGTTCGACTATCTATTTGCGGTCCTTAACAGATTTGGCTTCGGAGGAAACTTCATTTCATGGATTAAATTATTATACCAGCAACCGTCTGCCACAGTTCGTACCAACCTTCAGATCTCAAAACCATTTAAATTACAAAGAGGCACCCGTCAGGGATGCCCTCTTAGTCCCCTGCTTTTCGATCTGGCCATAGAGCCCCTTGCCATTGCACTTAAAACCAGTAAACAGATATCCGGCATTTGGAGGAATGACATGGAACACAAAGTGTCGCTTTATGCAGATGACCTTCTACTTTTTATTTCCAAACCATCAACTTCATTGCCTTCTGCTCTCAATATATTTAGCCAATTCAGTCAGATTTCAGGGTATAAGTTGAACCTTACCAAAAGTGAGCTTTTCCCCATAGGTAATGAAGTTAGCATGTCAGACTTTGCTAACCTGCCATTTAGAATTGAAAGACAAAAATTTACATACCTTGGTATCACAGTGACAAAAAAGCATAAAAATTTGTTTAACGAGAATTTGATTAAGCTGTTGAACCAAGTGAAGGAATCCCTCACAAAGTGGACACCCCTCTCCATGTCCCTTGTGGCACGTATCAACTCAATTAAAATGAATATACTGCCCAAATTTTTATACCTTTTTCAGGCATTACCTATTTGTATTCCTAACACTCTTTTTCATGAGCTAGACTCAATTTTTTCATCTTTCATCTGGCAGGGTAAACGCCCAAGGCTTAATAAATTACAACTCCAAAAACCAAAGCCACAAGGGGGGTTTACCTTCCCCAATTTTCAGTTCTATTACTGGGCTGCCAATCGTAGATGCCTAGTGTTTTGGTATTTCTATCATAATCGAGGGGGCTGTCCTGACTGGGTGGCTATGGAGCTACGCAGTGGTAACAATTTGTCCATCCCGGCCGTTCTGTGTTCCCCACTCTCACTCTCCACATCTAACCCTACTTTAAACCCAGTAGTGAAACACTCGCTGAAAATATGGGGCCAGTTCAGGAAATACTTTAAACTCCACGATTTCTCCTTCTTAAGTCCAATTGCACTTAACCATTTTTTTAAACCATCTGTTCAGAATGGGGTGTTTCTACAGTGGCAGCAGAGGGGACTTACTTACTTTAAGGACTGTTTCATTGGGAAAAAATTGGCATCCTTTGAGGAACTTAGCAAAAAATGTGGTTTACCTAAATCCCATTTCTTTAGATATTTACAAACCAGAAACTTTATTCAGTCTCACTTCTCAGGCTCAATCTCTCTGCCAGAACATACACTGTTGGAAACCATCCTATCACTGAACTCAACTTCTAAAGGGCTGGTTTCATGGCTTTATAACAAAATGTTCACAATGAAAGAGACCTCCACACTTAAACTTAAAGCCTCATGGGAAGAGGACTTGAATATGACCATAGCAGATCAGACATGGGACTCTATACTTAAACTGGTGAATACCTCATCTCTATGTGCGCGCCATTGCCTCATTCAGTTTAAAGTAGCACATAGAGCCCACCTCTCCAAATATAAACTATCCCGTTTCTATCCAGGAGTCACCCCTTACTGCGATAAATGCAAAACTGCTGTGGCCACACTGGTCCATATGTACTGGTCCTGCCCCGCTCTTGGTCATTTCTGGACAGATGTTTTTCATACAATGTCCGGGTTGGCGGGAGTGGTGATAACACCTGGCCCTCTTCTGGGTCTGTTTGGTTTTAGTGGTGAGGGGTCACCTTTACCGGCCTCTAAGCGGCAGGCACTGGCATTCTGCTCACTGTTAGCGAGGCGCACAGTTCTAACCAGGTGGAAGGGTGCGGCTCCTCCAACTCACAAACAGTGGTTATGTGACATCATGTCATGTCTGAAACTGGAAAAAATTAAATGTTCTATCCAACATTCAACTGGTAAATTTGAGGAGATATGGGGGCCCTTTCTTGACTCATTCCAAAACGCAAAATAATGCCCCGGGTTATTTATAAAAAAATAAATAAATAAATAAAAAATTCAATAAAATGTGTTCTGTCTCAGTAAGGGATAAGAAAGTGCAGGAGTGCGCTGACCTCTTGGTAGTGACCTGGGTGGGCTGATTGGGATTTTTATTTTATTTATTTTTTTTTTTGTAGGGATTGTTTTTGCTGCATTTGTTTCTATATCTTGTTGGATAACTATATATATATTTTTTGTATTTACAAACTGTATGTATAAAAGGAATACTCAATAAAAAGACAGTGATTAAAAAAACATGGAGGAATCCCGTTACCATGAGCCCGTATTGTATGGAGTTAGAGCCTGTTTCAAGACACAGATACAAGGAGTTGATTGACAGATATGTTGGATGTGACCCGTACCTCATGAAGATGAGTGAGTTTTCGGTGGACCTTAAAGATTTGCCGACAGTGGAGGCCGTTGACATAACGAACTATCTGGTCCTTCAGACGTCGTATTACACCAAACAGCAAACGAAGGCCTATAAAAGTATGGAGGCACATAAACGCACCAAACGTCTCCACGACGATCATCGTTTAGTCTTTGCCAGGGTGAGTGTTTGTTCTTATATTGTTTTATGTGTTAAAAGATGCTACCGTTAGCAGTAGCGGCTAGCCTCACAGTTGTTTATGTCCATATTAGACTACCGGTAACTTATTAATCATTACTAAGTAAATGAGCATTTAACGACAACCTTATGCTATAAAAACACAAGCACAGAAAAAAAGTTAGCTAGCTAACATAACGTTATAGCTTATCTCCAACGAAGTGGTCACTGCAGACACGGGCATTGGCAGACTCTGCTCCTTCAGATCGCAGACGTAGGTTTAGAATCCATTTTTTTCGTTGTTTTTCTGTGAGCTTTTTACACTTTTCACCTTTATGAACAACAATCTTTGGTACTTTGTAAAAGCTCTTTTCCTTTTCTCGGTTCCGATGATTGGAGCAGCCGTAAACTACACAAAACAAAGGCATTATTTCAGACGGCAGATCCTCAGCTACTTCACTTCCTGCCCTCCATCTGAGTTTCGCGGCGTTGCAAAGCAGGACTGTGACGTCACGTGAAACCAAGCTATTATCATCCCAGGTCGCACCACACTGTTCTGAAGCCCTCATTTAAAATGTTGCGTGGAGAAGATTTCAATTGTTGTTTATAGTTGTTCTTCTGTTTTGTGTTGGTTGGCAAGCAACTTCCAGAGGGGCATTACCGCCAACTAGTGGAATGGAGTGTGAATCGCGATGTGCAGCCAGACGGAGATGACGCGTTCTGCTCATGCGCTCGTTATCAGAGAACCGAGCCGAGCCCACCTCTGGAACTGGTCTGCAGTTAGCTCGGTCCGGTTCAGTTTGCTTCCATTTACACACCATAAGTTATCTCAGTTACTGAGCTTGGACCGGTCTCGGCACGGTTTTTCAAGGCTAGTATAAACAGGGTAATAGCCTGCTCTTAGGCCCCTCCCACTAAAAGTAAGCCACTGCTGACTCACCCGAGTATTGCAGCAGTGTGATCTCCTGAGAAGAATGCGACCCGAGCAGAACCTTAGCGGTCTCCCCCATCCTCCGGTCTGAGGCGACGTGGCAGAAAAGGGGCGGGGCCTGCATCATGTGATCACACTTGAGCATGGGAACGCAGGGGAAGCGCTCGTCCATGACGTAGGCCGAGTGCTGGAGGACAAACGGGCAGAAAATCAGACTCTGCTGGGGATTCTGCAGGATGGACCGAAGCAGGGCCGCGACGTACCTGCGTGGCGACCAGGTGATGGAAGGTGTTCACGTCCCCCAGGTAGCGGCACAGCAGGAGCCGCTCTCCACTCCTGCAATCGGAGGTGCTGCTGATCCGGAACAAAGTGTGGTGGGCCCCCGATACCTGTGGAGGACAGATCTGTTCTAAAGCGAGCAGGTATGGCAGCGGCGGGTCCTGCATTCTCCCGATAAATCGGCACCAGAGAAAAATCAACCCTGGTTACGAGTTCGACACCAACTGGATCTGCTGCTGACCCGGGTTCTAGCTCATGTTCTTCAGCTGCGAACGTTTGAATCAGCCAGAAAGGATCCATCAAATCTGTCTGGTTGCTCATTTTCCCACCTTGGCTCTGAAGTCTGTTAGCTCCGCCCCCGTCCTGTCTGCATACACCATCACCCTCGGGTGGGCGGAGAACTCACACCATCTCCATGGCGACTTGGCATTGAAGTACAAGTTGCTCTCTTCTGTTCGAACCTTCTGCAGCCTGGTGGGGGGAAAGTAGGAGTAAGTTAACCTCTGACCTGCCCTGGGATCTGGCCTGCAGGGGGGGGGGGGTCCCTCACCCTTTCCCAACCGTCCAAAGGTTGGCAGCTCCGCTCTCACTAACCACCAGAACTTCACCTAGAACATGAGGGCTGGCGAAACGGAGAAGGACGTTAACTTCCCGGCTTCCTCAGAGGGCTGCGTGGAGCTCCTCTGGCGGCCCACCTGACGCTGACGCAGGTCGCAGCGGCTTCCGCGTCCACCACCTGCAGCAGGCACGGCTGCTTCCTCTCACCGAACCTCCAGACGCCGCAGTGGTAATCGGAGCGCACGGCGACGCAGCCTGGAGGACGACAGAAACACGGTCAGCCGTCGGCAAAACCTGCGGAGGCGGACCGTCTGTGAAACCCACGTACAGTCGCCGAGGACCGAGCCGCAGCTGATCTGTCGGACGGGGGCCCTCAGCTGGAAGCTCACCGGCTCAGCGCTGCTGGCGTCCATGCAGGAGTTCTGCAGCGCCACCTTGTGGAAGTCTGGGGTGTTGCGTTAAGAATGGTGCCTTAATGCAGTTTTTATAAGACTGAAAGGCACTAGGGCTGAAATGAGCAACTATGATTAATGAATTATTAATAATTATCAGATAACTTGGTAATGCATTAGATCGTTACCTAAAGTGATGGTTCAGACTGAAAACAGGTGGTTTGCTCAAATAAATTACCTCCTAACAGCAGCAATTAAGACAAAGGCAATTTATTCACACTTTTCATTTCAAATTAAAGCTATTTTACATATAATAATGAGAATGCTTCTGCATTCCTATCAGTCTGAAATGTTTTTTTCTTTTTAAATTATCTTTTTAATCAGGCAATTAATCAATCAACTGACTATTAAAATGATCAACAGAATTCAAACTTCTGAAAGTTCTTTAAATCTGAAATGATTCCATCCTGTTCAATAAATGATCAGTGTTTTTAATTCAGAGTAATTTTCATGTGAATGTGCTTTACTGGAGGCATCCATGTTTGTCAAAGAACACTACTGCCACCTACTGGTTAGTGACGTCACGGTGCGGTATCGGCTGTTGATCAAGTCCCAGTGCTGTATCTGGTGTTTGTCACAACGCGCTATTATCCAAGTCATCTTGAAAACATTCTTCTTCCAAATGTTGGCTACATATTACGGGTTTTTTCTCTGGCCAGAAGTTCGATGGCAAATCCTCCCTCTTCAAGTTGGCGATCCAACGACCAACCCGTCCGTGGAGGATCAGGAATCAGAAAGGTGGAATAACTCTTTTCTTTTCACTTTTACCCGATGTATTCCAGCATCCAGCTGCCATGCACGTGGGCATTGTCAGTTTCACTATAGCTCTGGTGAATTTCAATGGTGAAGTCCTCTGGAAATCTTCAATATTTGTTGTTGATTGCAGATGTGTCTAGTAGTTCCCATTGATTTAGCTTGTAAAGCGGGGAGAATGGCGCTAGGCTTACCGCACCGTGACGTCACTGCCGGAAGATGGCAGGAGGGAGGGGCTACTATATTTGGGCAAAAATGGCCGCTCCCAGACTCAGTGATCACGATGAAAATGATTATTGTTATTTTTTTTACTGATTAACGATAGATTCATTAAATCACAGCGAACATATTGATTATTTCTCACGCCTAAAAAACATATTTTAGGTCCATCAGGTTAGAGCAGTAAATAAAGGAACCACGCTGACGTCTAAATGCTGACCAAACCGCCGTCGTTCCATTTTGACATTTTTCCAACATCACCGCTCCCTGATTGGTTGCAATCATGCTTATTTTTCTCACTAAACTCCTAAGAGGCAAAATAATGAAAACCCTGTGAATGGCGTGATGTTTAGGATACGGAGGCGGTCCATTCCCAGGCCTCCAGGGTACAGCAGGCAGCCCTCGCTCTGTGAGAAAGGGACATAGGCCAGGGCGCCCCCGGTGGATCTCTCTGAGAACTGCATGCGCTCCCTTTGCTCCGTCAGCTCCTCGTAGAGCAGCGAGCCCAGCAGCTCCAGAGGAACGTCGTGCACGACGTCCGACATATGGCTGGAGAACCTTTCGAGACTTCTGCTGGGATACGAGACGGGACACCTGGGGACAGAAACCAACCGCCTCAGAAACCAAACGCTCCGAACAACGGGAACATTTTCAGCACAGAAGGTTTGGGTTCTGCTCACGGTTTATACTTCAGCAGATCGATGTAACTCTTGGTCCTCCACATGTTGACCGAACCCTGACGATATTTCTGCAAAACAACAGAGGAAGAAGAAGATGAGATAAAACCTTCCAGACGTTTCACAGACAGATAGATGAAAATCACCTCCTTCTTCTTTGCTTTCTTGAAGTAGAAGTTTTCCCCCAGGACCTCACTGGTGCACCTGAAGGCATCTAAACCATCGTCTATGAAGAAGTTCTGCAACTGAATACAGAGCGAAGCCTTCAGTGGCTTATTACAGAAACGCCGAGACGACGTCCAGCCGCCAGAACATTCCCACACAGGTCAGCAAACTCAGGAATCTGATCTTTTCCCTGATCACTCAAACGTCTCCCATCAGTCATGTTAGCAACACTCTTCAGAGTGGATCTTTCCTGCACCAACAGAGCTAGATTTACAGGCTAAAAGAGCCCAAACATTCAAACAAAACCAGGCCAGAAGAAGCTGGTTTCCCTGGAGACGGCTGGCAGCCATGGTAACACTGCCTTATCTATCTATGGGCTCAAGTCAAATTAAAGTTCCTCACATGTGACAGGAAGTCCATTGGATCTGGAGGCATCAAATATTCTTGGAAAGCTGAAGGAAAAACAGACGGATCAGATGGGATGAGAAGCTCAGCAGCTCCGTCGGTTCATTAAATGCCTCCATTAAATGAATCATCAGAAAATCAGGCAGGAACTTATTTTAAAAGTTTTAAGCAAAGCTAAATACTGAGCCTAATGAGCTAAACATCAGAGGAGAAATAAAAACGAATAAACTTTGTCAATAACTGCAGTTTGGATCAGAACCAAGCCGCCGTGGGCTCACCTTTCCTGGGAGACAGCAGGGGAACCGGCAGCGGCTCCGTCTGACGCCATACCTCCCCATCAACCCGCCGTCTGGATGTAAAGGTCCAGCTGGAGAGAGGGCCACTGCCGCCCTGCAAGTAGAACCACGTCAGTTAGAATGGTTGATGATCATCAGCGGCGGGTCGGTCCTCCAGGGCCTTAGATCCATCCCCGCCGCTTCCCTCCATCACTTCCTGATTAACTGCTCCTCCTTTCAGGGAAGAGATGCTGGAGCCTCTGGTTTACATCCAGCATGTTTGTAGAACTATGGCCCAGTCCAAGTTCAAACATAAATGAAACTGATCATCTGTAGTAGTGATGCTTAATGAGGCGTCATGAAGCCAAACTGTATTGATTCGATCTCACAGAATACTGACACCTGCTGGACATTTAAAGACACTACAGGCAGCTGATTGGACAGAATAAACGGAATTGATTTGATGACCTGGAACAGAGGTCACCAACCCAACCTGAGCCATACTGGACCGAAAAAACAAAAAAATAAATCTGTCTGGAGCCGCAAAAACGTAAAAGTCTTGCATCAGCCTCGTATGGCAACACAGGCTCTCAGTGTATCAGTCCAACATAAAAAATGATTATCTGGGCTTAAATATAGATTAATTATTAATGATTAATTGTTTATTCTGATGTCAAAAATCCAAACAAAAATGTGTGAAAATCTAAGAACTATCTGGCAGAAAGACCTTGATACAGACATTGATGATGCTGTGTGGGAAAATATTATATCAAACGTGGGAGGGGCTACAAGGGATGCAAGAAATAAATTTATTTACTACAAAATTGTACATAGGTATTATTTTACACCAAGTAAGTTATGTCGAATGGGTTTAATAAAGGATAACAAATGCTGGAAGTGTAATAAAGAGGTTGGCACATTTCTCCATGCATTATGGGAGTGTCCCTTGATAATGCCCTTTTGGAAGGAAGTCTTGAAAAAATTGGACCACTGGCTTAGTCAACCTCTACCAGAGTCTGCACAATTTTGCCTTTTAGGAGACAAGTCATTGATGCCAGAGGGCTTCCCAACAGCTGAAGGTAGAGTAATGATGACAGGTTTTCTAGTAGCAGCTAGAATTATTCTTCGTAAATGGAAGAGCCCACATAGACCAGAAATCAAGGAATGGCTTCAACTTATGTCAGAGACAGCTGCTTATGAGGTCATGATTTCTAGGGTGCAGAAAGAGCCACGTAAGGCTAGCCAAGCATGGGTAAATTTTGACTACAGTGTTGGTAAAAATTCTTAGGGGATTTGTGGGGTGATGTATGCTGTGAGTATGAATATGTGCATTTCTATATCTATGAATAGGTAACTGATAAGTGCTGTCATGTTATGTGTTGCTGCCGATGTTTGTGTTTTTGTTGTTGAATGTCATCTGTTTGTAACTTATAAAAGAAAAATAAATAAAACTTCCATCCATCCATCCATCTTCCTCCGCTTATCCGGGGTCGGGTCGCGGGGGCAGCAGCTTAAGAAGGGAGGCCCAGACTTCCCTCTCCCCAGCCACTTCTTCCAGCTCTTCAGGAGGAACCCCAAGGCGTTCCCAGGCCAGCCGAGAAACATAGTCCCTCCAGCGTGTCCTGGGTCTTCCCCGGGGCCTCCCCCCGGTGGGACGTGCCCGGAACACCTCACCAGGGAGGCGTCCAGGAGGCATCCTAAACAGATGCCCAAGCCACCTCAACTGGCTCCTCTCGACGTGGAGGAGCAGCGGCTCTACTCCGAGTCCCTCCCGGATGACCGAGCTTCTCACCCTATCTCTAAGGGAGAGCCCAGCCACCCTACGGAGGAAACCCATTTCGGCCGCTTGTATCCGCGATCTCGTTCTTTCGGTCATGACCCAGAGTTCATGACCATAGATGAGGGTAGGAACGTAGATCGACCGGTAAATCGAGAGCTTCGCTTTTTGACTCAGCTCTCTCTTCACCACGACGGACCGGTACAGTGCCCGCTTCACGGCAGACGCTGCACCAATCCGCCTGTCGATCTCCCGCTCCCTTCTTCCCTCATTCGTGAACAAGATCCCAAGATACTTAGACTCCTCCACTTGGGGCAGGACACCCCCCCTGACCCAGAGAAGGCACTCTACCCTTTTCCGGCTCAAGACCATGGCCTCGGATTTGGAGGCACTGATCCCCATCCCGGCCGCTTCACACTCGGCTGCGAACCGATCCAGCGAGAGCTGCAGATCACGACTTGATGAAGCCAACAGGACCACATCATCTGCAAAAAGCAGAGACGCAATCCTAAGGCCACCAAAACGGATCCCCTCAACACCTTGGCTGCGCCTAGAAATTCTGTCCATGAAGGTAATGAACAGAATCGGTGACAAAGGGCAGCCCTGGCGGAGTCCAACTCTCACTGGAAACGAGCCCGACTTACTGCCGGCAATGCGGACCAGACTCTGACACCGGTCATACAGGGACCTGACAGCCCGTATCAAAGGGCCCTGCACCCCGTACTCCCGGAGAACCCCCCACAGGGCCCCCTGAGGGACACGGTCGAACGCCTTCTCCAAGTCCACAAAGCACATGTAGACTGGTTGGGCGAACTCCCATGCACCCTCCAGGACCCTGCTGAGGTTGTAGAGCTGGTCCAGCGTTCCACGACCAGGACGGAAACCAAATAAAACTTTATTGAAAAAAAAAAAGGTTTATTCTGGAGTAAATGTCACATCATGTGACTTCTCTGCTTTGGTGCTTTAAGTTTACATTCCATTACAATAATAATAATAAATAACAATATTAAATTTGGTTGCATAGATGGAATTATAGAAACAAAGAAATCCGATTTTTGATGTTATTTTTATTTTTAGGATTTGGGGAAAGGAACAAAGTTTGCATCCCTGCATCAGAGCGCGGAGTTTGGAGATGCTACTTCTACTTCTAAAATCTATCTTTGCACTCCTCTAGTTTATCCAGAAGTTCTGCAATCAAACTTTCTAATGTGTCTTTTTATTATTTGACAGCTTCTCATTAAAAACAAACATGCAGGCAATCCTTCCTCATTGGTAATGAAAGCAAATGATTTGCTTTGTATGCCTGGCGCCGCGCAGCAAGACACGTTTCAGCGTGGTGTCGCACCGTGTTGCAGGCTATCACGCAAATCTTTGTTGACAGGAATGTTAAAATCTATTAGACAAACCTTTACAGCATTAGAAACATAATGAATGTCTGTTTGACCTCCTGCACGCCACAGTAAAACAAACTAAAGAAATTATTTTATCCATTTTTTTAAAAAGCCACAAAGGGGGGGCCATTAAAGAGCCGTGGGTTGCTGACCTCTGACCTATTACAATGATATAATTTAGGTTATTGTAGGTTTAAATTGTATTATTTTATATCTATGATTATATTGAAAATATCTGAAATATTTAGATGCAGCCAATAAATAATGTAAACGTAATCAAAATTTTAGGGTAAAATGTGAATCAGGATGTTTGTGGATTAGGATTTTAAATCAATAAGTTCAGTAAAAACATTAATTAAACTGAGAGTCAATTTGAAATTAACTTTAATCCAGATAAGCTGAGTGAAAACTGAGAGGAAAAGGAAAATTAAAATACTCCTAATCCTTTTAGGCTCCAAAATCCTTGATAATTTTAATGATAAACCGCAAAAGATGAGACATTTATTTTTAGCAGATGCATCATGTTGACAGAAACACAGTTTAGTTTAGGTGTTGTCTTCTCAGTTCAGAGGGGCCCCTGCCTGTCTTTGCCCAGGGCCCCTCATTTCCTAACTCCGCCCCTGTGTTAAAGGCTGCAGGTGGAGCCTTTAGTTTACATCCAAGCCTGTTTGAATAACAATGGCCTAGTCCAAGTACCAACATGAATGAAGCTGATTATCTGTAGCAATCCTCAACATTTAAATGAGGCTAGAAATTTAAATATTAGCTGTTTTATTTTCCCAGATGATCAGCAGGTTAATCATCAAACTTTGTTTTTATATTTATTTCAGCACAGAATGAAAAGTTTGAACAATTAATCATTTTCCAGAACAAGTCTAAGAGTTTCTGACCCTAAAGCTGTAATTTTAAAGACTCAGCCTGATCCTTAGGTTCTCCCACCTGGGCTGAGACTCCTCCATAGGCGCCCCATCCTCCGCTGCGGCCTCTGGGCAGCTGCTCCGGCGGCCCGCGGTTATAGAAGGACGGGAAAAGTTTGGGAGGAAACTGATGATCCATCCTTACTGTCCTGGAGTCTCCGAGTCCATCGTGTCCATCGGGTGTCTGTGCGGCAGAACAAGTCCAGACATGTTGGACCTGCTAGCTTAGCTGATGGTTAGCAGAAAAAAACCCAGTTTCTCCTCCCAGAAGCAGCGAGACGCTAAACTGGGAGCTGCTGGTTTATCCTGGGAGCTAAAACAGACCGAATGGTCCCAATAAAGAAGACAGGTTAGGTTATTAAACAGGAAAACTCTGCTGTGACGAGCTAAACACGTGCTGCTTATCCCATATGCTGAGCGGAAGTCAACAGCGACGACTTCCGGTTGGTTGGTCGAACAGGAATAACCAGAGCAGACCCCGCACCGACAGCTTTCGTGGGCGCTGACGTGATGTGGCGGCGCCATCTTGGGGCGGTCAACACCTCCTCTCTGCGTTAAAGAGGAAATTAATCAATTTTGATCAACTTGAAGTCACTGAATATTGAACTAATTTTCACTTTTTTTTTTTTGCTAAAAACAAACAAATAGTTCAGTTTATTTAGATATTCTGAGTGGAGTTAAGAGTAACATGACACAACATTTAAAAATAGAATACAGTACATTAGGTGGCGGTATACACCTATAAGTTGTTTACAATCTGCCAATTAAACGACAGAGCTTTACGTATAAGTACAGGAGCAGTGAAAACAACACCTATCAACGCTCTTTTAGTCGAGACTGGAGAAACTCCACTGGAAATGTGAAGAATGAAATTAGGTTCAATATATTAGATGAAAATTAAAAGTAGTATGGATGAAAATGTAACTTCAACAATTCTACAAACTTGTTGGGAATATTCTAAGTTCCATAATAATTGATTTGGATGGGTTATAAGCAAATTGATTAAAGAGTTTGGATTAGAGGATAAGGAAGTAGCACAGTTTAATCCAATCAGTGTTATCCCTCCATGGCTATTTCCTGAGATAACTGTAGACATGAGACTTATTAAAATTAAAAATGATTGGAATTTAAACGAAATAGGGATAAAGACTGATATATATATTTAAGAAACTCATATTATAATTACCTTAAAATATATTCAGATGGTTCTAAGAATTTAAAAGGGTGTGTGGGATTAGGAATATATGTACCAGAGTTCAAAATACACATTTCTAAAAGAATTTCAGATCAACTATCTGTTTTCACAGCAGAGATGGTGGCAGTTATACTGAGTTTCCAATGGGTGGAGGAAGTCAGACCAGACAGGGTGGTGGTATGTATGGATTCCAAAGCAGTTTTAGAAAGTATTCAGGGAGGAGGAAATAATAGGAAAGATTTAGTATTAGAAATTCAGCACAGTTTATTTAGATTATACAGGGGTGGCATTGATATTTGGTTCGGTTGGGTATCAGCGCATGTATGAAGGATAAAAAGTGCCAAAATTAAATAAATAAATACAGTATTAAATAAATAATTAAATGTGTTAATAATTAAATAAATGTGGAATTAAATAAATAAATGTGTCATTCATTAATTAAAACCACGTTACTAATATAAAGTGCCACAATTAAATCAATAAATATAGCGATAAACAATTAATTAAATGTTAGATTAGAGTAGTTGAAAGGACAGGCCAAGAATGGAGTCTTAAAGGATTATTGGGAAATAAAGGAAATACAAAGGATATTTATAGATTAAGGAAAGCAGTATTTATTTATCTTCAGAATACAAAATTAAAAAATAGAATTTAATAGATGTAAAACAATGTTGCTACACACTCATGAACAGTAGGTGGCGGTATGCACCTTAAAGTTGCTTGCCATCCGCCATGATAGAAAAGAAGAAGAAGAAGAAGAACTAAGTGACAGGAGTAGGATTTTATTGTGAAAGGAACCGGAAGTGAGTGATCAGCTGACCTCTCCTGTCTGTTTGCTAACAGAAGCGGCGCAGAAATATCGCTCGGTTTGCTTTAGATTGTCCGTTTTTGTTAAAATCTCCCATTTTGTCGGAGATGTCCCAGTAGGACGTCAGATTCCGGTAGGTCCGAACACTTTCTGTCTGCGCGTGTTTTTAGCCGTTAGCTGTTAGCGATGCTGATGTCCGATAATGGGAACAGCTAGCTACTCGGTTTAATGTTTTTATTTCCCAAATAATTAACGCCTGTTAATCTGTCTTTAAGCTAATTTCCTGCCGTAAATTCTGACCGAATGACCTGAGAGTTGGATTATTGAGATTAGCTGCGATGTTGCAGCTCGGTGATGGTTTCTGCAGACACCCAGTCCTCATTAGTGAAACACAGAAACCGCTGATGTCTGAGTTTCTTCGGTATATTTGATGTTTTTGATCAGTCTCTGATGCTGCAGAACTGAACCAGATGAAACATCTCATGGTTCAGCTTCTTATTCCTCCCAAACAGCAATAATCCATTTATTCCTTTGATCTGAGGCTGGATTAGCAGTGAAATCTCGCTCCAGATTAAGTCAGGGTTGAATTAAATGCTGATTTCGTCATAGAGTAAATAGCAGGCTCTTTATTTTAGTACAGAGTATGGCTGAAATAATTAATCGGATGAATCAAATTAATCGCTTATTGAAATAATCGTCTATAAACTAATTTAGTAATCGATTAATTGTAAACTGGAGCATAGAGACTAAAACCTGCCTTTAGCGGACAGAGACTCACTTAGAGCAGGAATTATACCAAGATTATAAAAATATGTAAACATTTGGCGTTAAACATAAAAAACATCTCTGTCTGTCAATCTGCTCTATAATCCAGTTTTAGTTTCACCTGCTTTAATTTAATAAAAATCTTTAAGGAACCTTTTGCTGTCTGATTATTAATCAATTCATGGAAAAAATAATCAACAGATTAATCAATGTGCAAAATAATCGTTATTTGCAGCCCTCGTACAGAGACCATGTAGTTAGTGATGCTGTCATCATGATATCTGGATTATAAACACAGATGTTGGATTCATAGAGAGATGCAGGTTTTGGTATAAATACAACTGTGAGAGATGAATTTCAATTCTATTCAGTGTATTTCTATAGCTCCAATTCACATCATGTCATCTCAGGTCACTTTCCAGTTCACCAGATCATCCAGTCAGATTGATTCAAAGTTTTCTATCTAAGGAAAACCAGCTGATTGCATCGACTCATTGACTCTTCAGCAATCCCTCACACTAAGCATGCTTGTAGCGACAGTGGAGAGGAAAAACTCCCTTTGAACAGGAAGAAACCTCCAGCAGAACCAGGCTCAGTGTGAGCGGCCATCTGCTGAGGCCGACTGGGGTTCAAGGAGACAGAAGCAGACATAGAAAAAGAAGCATAGATACAAAAGGCAACTGTCAACCAGCTCCACAGGCGGCCCCGTCCAGGAAACACACAGCCAGGCAGACGAGCTCCGAGCCAGCTCCCATGTCAGAGGATGAAGAGAGCACATCCAGTTAGTCACAGTCAGAGAAACAGGACTACACTGGAAAACAGGCCAAGCTCCAACATCTAGAAACAAAGGTGTTGATGGCAGCAGCACAGCTGATATTTCTCTCCAGGATGGAGTCACAGCCAAACAGGAACAGACCAGATGAAGCTACTATGAGAAAAAGCAGAGAGAGCAGAACGTTAGAGATTGAACTAACAGATTCTGCAGAGTGGGAGAATAGAGATAGAATGAAGCAGAATGATGAAAAAGGGGTCCCTATGTCCTCCAGCAGTCTAAGCCTTTAGCAGCAGAACTATAGAGTTGGTTCCACAGGAGAGGAGCCTGAGAACTAAAAGATCTGCCTCCCATTCTACTTTTAGAAGTTCTAGGAACCACTAGTAAACCTGCAGATTGAGAGTGAAGTGCTCTGTTAGGAACATAAGGAACAATCAGATCTCTGATATCAGATGGAGCTTGGCCATTTAAGGCTTTATATGTGAGAAGGAGGATTTTAAATTCTATTCTGGATTTAACAGGAAGCCAATGAAGAGAAGCCAGGATAGGCGAGATATGATCTCTCTTTTTAACAAATGGGAAAATGTGACTTTCTCTCAGTCTTAGATGATTTTCACAGCAGAAGCCGCTGAGCTATCTAAGGTAAATATCTTTGGTGCTCACTATGCAGAGTTGCGGTGGGAACATTTAGATTTAAAGCAGGTAGCAGAGATTTGGAGCTCAGGACGAGTCAAAGCGGTCAGATAGAGTCTGATCTAAAGTCTGTAGAGATTCAATCAAAGCACCTGATTAATCAGAGCGTGGCAGATTGATCGTGGAATCTGTCCTCCTTCTACCTGGTCATGGGTTCCTGAGTTAGAGGCAGCGCTGGCGATGCGATCCACCATCTCTTTGTTTGTTTCTGCATCCAGATACGCCAGCATCATGTCGGGGAACAACCTGGTCTTGCCCATCGTGCTGTGGGGGCGCACGGCTCCCACCCACTGCATCAGCAGCCTGCTGGTGATGGACGACTTCAGCACCATCATCACGGGCTGCCATGACGGACAGATCTGTCTGTGGGACATGACGCCGGAGCTCCAGGTGGGAACCATGATGATGATGATGATGATGAGGGTGTGAGCTTCATCTGTCGTTCCCTTTCTCCTCTGATTTTCTTTACATTTTTGGGTTTTTAAGATTCTTTTTGCTCTTTTTTTCATATCTTTTTATTTTCCTTAGCTTTTCTATTGTATCTTTTGTAATACTTTTAAAATTTGCTATTTTCGTTTGCTCCCTTTTTTTTTTTTTACAATAACTTTTTTTATTTAATAATTTTTTTCCCAGATTTGTTTTTGTTTATATTTTTATAGATTTGTATGTCTTTTTAATTTCCTGTTTTAACTTTATTAACACCAAAGGGTTGATTTGTTTTACAGTCAGGAAACATAAGAATGATGCTTTACACACAGTAATAAAATAACATGAAAGTCAAAAAAATATGTTGAAAAAAGTACTGAAGGCTCGACCAATCAGGACGAAGGAAACATCTGAACCTCTGTAGAGATAAAAGCGTTAAAGGAAAAGTCCGGTTAGCAAGGAATAATCAATGGATCTTGAATGATTTAATTAATTTAGTGTTAATCATAAAAAAAATAAATAAAAAAAAAAAGATATTTATCGTCGCGATAACTGAGTCTGGGAGCGGCCATTTTCGCCCAAATATAGTAATAATAAGCCTAGCGCCATTCTCCCCGCTTTCCAAGCTAAATCAATGGGAACTACTAGACACATCTGCAATCAACAACAATTATTGAAGGTTTCCAGAGGACTTCACCATTGAAATTCACCAGAGCTATAGTGAAACTGACAATGCCCACGTGCATGGCAGCTGGATGCTGGAATACATCGGGTAAAAGTGAAAAAAAAGAGTTATTCCACCTTTCTGATTCCTGATCCTCCACGGACGGGTTGGTCGTTGGATCGCCAACTTGAAGAGGGAGGATTTGCCATCGAACTTCTGGCCAGAGAAAAAACCCGTAATATGTAGCCAACATTTGGAAGAAGAATGTTTTCAAGATGACTTGGATAATAGCGCGTTGTGACAAACACCAGATACAGCACTGGGACTTGATCAACAGCCGATACCGCACCGTGACGTCACTAACCAGTAGGTGGCAGTAGTGTTCTTTGACAAACATGGATGCCTCCAGTAAAGCACATTCACATGAAAATTACTCTGAATTAAAAACACTGATCATTTATTGAACAGGATGGAATCATTTCAGATTTAAAGAACTTTCAGAAGTTTGAATTCTGAATATGAGCGACTTTTCCTTTAATAAGTAAAAGAAGATACATTTTTTAAGTTCCTCTTTCTTTTTTATTTCTTTTTCTCTATTCTTTCCTCTTATTTTTTCTACTCCTCCTCTCCAGATCTGTCCCAGAGCGATGCTGTTCGGTCACACCTCCTCCATCACCTGTCTGTCTAAAGCCAGTAACAGCAGCGACAAGCAGTACATGGTCAGCGCTTCAGAGAGCGGGTAGGTTTCCTGACGTCCTCACTGCGGTCTGTGTTCTGTTCCAAAATGTCCGCCTGACGGCGTGTTTCTGTGTTTCTAGGGAGATGTGTCTGTGGGATGTGAACGACGGACGCTGCATCGAGTTCACCAAGCTGGCCTGCGCTCACACTGGCATTCAGGTAAGACCAGGAGTCCCTGATCGTCATGTGGAAACATGCCAAAGAAGTGGGGGCCGTTAGAGGAGGGGGCGGGGCTCCAGAGCTGAGCCCGGTGGGTCTGTTGGAGGGCTACCATGAATGGTCACATATAGGGCTAAAAGATATAGCTTTAACGTGGTCACGTCTCCCAGAACAGATAGCGATGCCACACAGACGGAGCGGAGCTGAAAGGATGGGTATTTCCTGCGAAATGCCGTCGTGGGAACCAATCAGGGAGAGGTTGATGTTTTGATGTAGCGTGAAGAAGTGCAGCCGAGACGATTCAGTCAGAATGGAACAAAGAGAAGATGATGCTGAGAGGATGAAATAAGAAATGATCTGAACAGGTTTGTAGGTGGCTGTTAAAGAAGCCTGTTGGTCATCCTACCTCACGTCACTCACAGACGGCTATGGCAAGCTGTGTTGACATTTATTATCTTGACTGAGTATCTCAGATTTCTGAAATCTGGTTCTTTTACCCATTTCCATTACCATTTAGAAACCGTGCCCAGATTGGTCAGATAACTGCTGAATGCAAATGGCAAAACTGAACGGACCGCGCCAGACACAACCGAACCACGCTGAACTGGTACTAGTTCATCACTTCTAGCTCGGTTCTCTGATAACAAAGAGCGCATAACCACACCGCCTCATCTCCTACCGTCAGCCTCCGTAATCAGGAAGCTTCAGACATTCATAAAAATCCCAGCTTCCCTACCGCGCCGCACGATTTCCAGTGATGATTCTGCTAAGCAGTGGGATGAACCTCAAAGTCTGTCGTTGTTTCCTGCGTCTGGAAGCCCTGATTAGACCATAATTTATCGTATCCACTTCCTAAAACCCGGCTCTGTCAAGGAAATTCACCAAAGGCTGCCTTCTTCACCTGACTCTCAATAAAACCTCCTAAATGTTACGGGCTCCGCCATTTTGGTTTGTTGGTTTACCTCTAGAGAGCAGTAGTACCGTAGATCGCCACTACGAGGCGAGGAACCGCACCAGCGTGACGTGTAAACGGTCGTAAGGAACTAAACTCAGCATGGATCGGTTTATAGAGGGCAGTGGAAATGAGGCTAAAGAACATTAGCAGACCGCGTCATCTCCTGTTTACCGTCAGCTGAATCATTTTGCGTGTTTTCTGCCGTGTCGGACTTTGCAATTCACAGATCGTTTTACCTGTTTACAACTAAAACTTCTCTGCCTATGAACAATAAATGGCATCAAAAGAGTTTGGTGCGACCTGGGATGATGCAGAGACCGAGAAGGATGCCTTCTTCGCTTAACATTTCGCAAAAAACGAAATATCGCCAATATAAACAAACATGAGTTCCTGAATGTTTGCCTAATTCCCGCCTTGGGAGCTGTAGTATCGTGGACGGCCAATAGGAGGTGAGGATCTGTGCTAGGTGTGATCGGTTTCAGGCTAGTCAAAAGGAACATTTCAGACATCGGAAATTAGATTCTTCGTATCTAAAATAAACTTTCTAGATATCTAAAAATGAATTTCAGATCTCCATGCCAATTTAATTTCTATTCAGTTTATTTCTATAGCTCTAATTCACATCATGTCATCTCAGGTCACTTTCCAGTTCACCAGATCATCCAGTCAGATTGATTCAAAGTTTTCTATCTAAGGAAAACCAGCTGATTGCATCGACTCATTGACTCTTCAGCAATCCCTCACACTAAGCATGCTTGTAGCGACAGTGGAGAGGAAAAACTAGTCCTCTTGTTACTAGTCATAATCATTATCGTTCTGTTGAAAGTTGATCTAATTACGTTTGTATCTATAATTACATTCTGTAAGGGCAAATTATTATTTATCTAATATTCCAGTTTAACTAGGATATCTGTAATGACATTTCTACTCATAGAAATCTAGTTTTTAATAATTGGATATCTAGAATGTTTTATTCTAATGGTCGTTATGTCTATAATAGAGATCTGATATTAGAGTTCATCCCTGTCTGGATTCCTTTTTAGATATTAGGAATATTGAGTGTAGAGAGGAAGAATGTTGTTTTCTATTTCTACTTTCATTCTGACCTGAAGGAAATGTCAGATAAAAATATTTATTATTTAAGCTGATAAATGTCTTAAAATGATGAAGATTTCTAGGTATCTGAAACTTGATTTTTACTAGTAGAGTTTAATTTTTTTAATATCCTTAAATTCAGATTCCATTTTTAAAAATGTGATTTAGGAAATCTATAATTATAGTTCTGTCTTTTAGGGATATCGTTTAGACCAGGAACAATCCTATTGTAGCGATCTACAAATGAAACATCAGAGGAGCATGCTTTTATTAAGTGTTAAAATGGTCTGCCGTAGCCCCGGCCAGCCGCCGCTCTGTGCCCTGTTAGATCTGTGGAAGTACCGTCCAGTCCGGCCGCTTGGATGATCCAAACTGGATCCCTCTCTGGAGAATCAGGTGGTGTTGATGTCAAGACGTGCAAACAGCTACAGGCAGCGTCAGAGAGGAAGGAAAATCAGAATCAGGCTGTAAACCATGAAGGGATTAATACGGAAGAGGATTAGGGCCAGTGGGGAAAAAAAGTTAACTGATTTTTAAATTTTATTTCAGTTTAGTTTGGGAAAAAAGTCAGAATTCTGAGATTAAAGTCAGAATTCTGACTTAATTCTGACAGCTAACAAACATGTTAGCATCAAGCCATAGCCATGTCTGTTTTAGAGACTAGCTCTCTTGTTTTAATGACCTCCTGCTCCTCCACTAATGAGGGGACCCCTCAGGCACGTAAAAAGTTGCCTAATTCCCTCATTTTCCACCAATGTGTCACTGGCCACCTCAAACAACTCACATCTTTGTCAGTGAAGCTGAGAGCTCGACATCTCTGCCTTCATGGTGCCCATCTACATTAAGATCCACAATTCTGAGATTAAAGTCAGAATTCTGAGGGAAAAAAAAGTCAGAATTCTGAGATTAAAGTCAGAATTCTGAGATTAAAGTCAGAATTCTGAGATTAAAGTCAGAATTCTGAGATTAAAGTCAGAATTCTGAGATTAAAGTCAGAATTCTGAGATTAAAGTCAGAATTCTGAGGGGAAAAAAAGTCAGAATTCTGAGATTAAAGTCAGAATTCTGAGGGAAAAAAAAGTCTGAATTCTGAGATTAAAGTCAGAATTCTGAGATTAAAGTCAGAATTCTGAGATTAAAGTCAGAATTCTGAGGGGAAAAAAAGTCAGAATTCTGAGATTAAAGTCAGAATTCTGAGATTAAAGTCAGAATTCTGAGGGGAAAAAAAGTCAGAATTCTGAGATTAAAGTCAGAATTCTGGGATTAAAGTCAGAATTCTTTCCTCTTCCGTAGATTAAAACATCTGAGGAATAGAAGGTTTTCATGTTTTTTGTGTCTCTCCCTCTGTGGTTCAGTTCTACCAGTTCACCATCGGCACTCAGAAGGAGGGGCGCCTGCTCTGTAACGGCCACTACCCAGAGATCCTGGTGGTGGACGCCACCAGCCTGGAGGTGCTGTACTCCCTGGTGTCAAAGATCTCCCCCGACTGGATCAGCTCCATGATCAGCATCCGATCCCATCAGACACAAGGTGGGATTTTAGCAGCCTGAACTCCTCAGCATCCAGTTTTCACTGCTTCGCTCTGATCCTGACTCCTTTCCAGGAACCATCAGCTTCACCAACATCACTTCTAAAGAAAACAATCAAACTACTGAAATGATTCCAACTTTTAACATAAAACAATTGATCGGTATGTTTATGTGGAAATATTTTCCTTCCTTGATCCCAGCATTTTTGGGCTCTTTTTTTAGAATAATGCACAGAAAAATAATCTCTAACTCCACCGTCCATGAAGGCCAGATCAAACTGGCTGAATCTGACTCTTTAATCTGCAATCCCTTTAGTTTCCACGAGGCTCTAATGAGGCAGGGAGGGCAGATTGTCTCTGTGCAACACGCATTACAACAATTTAGATTTGGACAGAATATGAAAAGTTATTTAAAATGTTATTAAAAATAATAAGTTCCACTAAGTCTGTTTAGCTGCGATGGAACAGTAGGACCAGGCTAGAGATTCTACATTAAAAAAAAACTAAAATAACAACCCCAAGATACTAGACCTTTTTCACACTTCCGGGTTTTAAAGCGGATGTGGGGTTTGACAACTTCCGGTGGCTATAGCGTTAGCATAAAAGTCTAAGAAAATGGCTCAGTCTCGGCGCAGTTGTTTTTGTTCTGTACCTGGTTGTTCATGTGGGGCAAGAAAACAGCCATATCTGTCCTATCATGCATTCCCAAAGATTATGTTGCAACCGCAACTGAAACATAAAACAAATAGTAACAACTGAACAGGAAAATGTTAGAATAAGCTCTAAGTAGTCCAGAAGTCGTACGTGAAAGTTCTTCAGCCGTCAAACATGAACAGGAACCCGAACCAACGAACAAGAGCCAACCGGCTTTCTGACTGTTTCAAACCTGCAGCTTGTGCGGTTCCTCATTTTTCTTCATGGATCTGAAGCATCTAGCTCTGACAACTACCTGTCCCTCGACAATATTTGACACTACAGGCATGCAGAAGTAAAGCATAGTTTCAACATCAAGCATCATCTAGAATCTCAGAACTAACATAACATTCTAGCATGCTGTTTTTCACAAACTATAGTGGCAAACAAATTTCAGAATGTTAAAATATAACTGAAAAGTTTAAACTATGTCCGTTTCCAATATTCCACATAATTTAGATGCTAAGTTAGGCTTCATTACGATGTTTGTGTAGCTCATATCTTGCAGCTAGCGGTTAGCTCACTAAGCTACGTCTTTTCTTACCTTGATAGCTGTGGATATATTCTTCGTGGAAGAACTTGTATCCTTTCACAGATTTTTGGTGGGGGGATTCGCCGCAGCGATTTCCTCCGCATCCGCGAAAGAAAGTGTTGGCAAACTAAGTAAGGGTGACGAAAAGCACCGGAGGAGAGACATTTTTCAGAGTAAAACAGGAAGTGCTCCAGCCCTTTCAGACGCAGCTTCCGGTTGTCGTGAAAAAGGTCTCTTGAATCCCCCTTTGAGACGAGGAGGTGGAAGAGGGGAGTCCACCTTTCTCCGTTGGAGAACCGTGGTCTGGGATTAGGAGGTGCTGATCCTCATACCGGCTGCCCTCGGTGCACGCCAACGGTCCTGGTTTGATGAGGACAACATCATCTGCAAACAGCAGAGACGATATCCTGAGGTTCCCAAACCAGACGTCCTCCAGTCCCTCGCTGCACCTAGAAATTCTGTCCATAGATGTGATGAACAGATCCAGTGACAAAGGCCAGCCGTGGCTGAGACCACCATGCACTGGGAACAGGTCTGACTTACTGCTGGTGATGCGAACCAAGCTCCTGCTGCGGCCCTACAGAGAGAGGACAGCCCTTAACGGAGGGCTCTGGACCCCATACCCCCAGAGCACCCTCTAGAGGACGCCATGAGGCACACGGTAGAGTCATTGCTCCTTCATGTCGAAAGGAGCCAGCTGAGGAGGCTCAGGAATCTGTTCCTCCTGGTCGCCTCCCTCAGGAGGTTTTCCAGGCATGTCCCATTGGGAGGAGGCCTGGTGGACACGCTGGAGGGACGATGTCTCTGAGCTGGCCTGGTGACGCCTCGGGGGGGGGGGGGGGGCAGCTAAAGGTGGAGGAGGTGGGTGTGGATGAGGAAGTCTGAGCATCTCCGCCTAGACTGCTGCCTCTGCAACCCGACCCCGGATAAAGAGGAAGAAAATGGATGGATATTAGAAAAAAGTGTTAACATTAGGCTGTTTACATCAGAGGAAAGCCCCGCCCTCTGAGGTGAAGAGGATGTGAAAAAATTACATCTAAATAAAATCAATAAAAAACAAAAAAACTTCTGAGAAAACAAAGAGTTTCTTCTCTGGCGTTTTTCAAAGTTTCATTCATGAAGATTTTTCTTCAATTTCAACAATAATTAGACAAAATAGCCTCCATACAAAGTAAGAAAATATGTTTTATTTTTTAGGGTCCAATAACTGGACCATAGATTAGGAAAATGGAGCCGCTTTACGCAGACAGACCTCCAGCCTCCAGCCTGGTCCTAACGATGGCCGCCTGGAGCGATCAGTGGACCTAATGACACCTGCTACAAACCAGCTTCCAGAAAGTTCTCTCGTTTTACAGAGAAACATGTTGTTTTTCCTTTTTTCAGAAACACTAATACATATATTAAACAGTTAGACACCCCCCCCCCCCCAGCTACAGAGCAACTAGTTCAACAGGAGTAAGTAATCCCATTAATTCTACAGTTGGTGAATGTTCCATTTCTTCCAGTATTTATTGTATCTCAGGTCTCAGGAAAAGTCCGGCTCTCCATCGCGTGATTTCCTTCCATTATTTCAAACATCTAGAATCAGGTTTTTAAAGCTCTTTGTGGTGGAAGTTGTGTTCCCGTCACCAAGAGCTGAAGGTCAGTCGCCTGCGTCCTGTGGGATGGAAGGTGACGCTAACAGGCGGCCATGTTTGCTGCTGAAGCTGAAGTCAGACGGTTGGTTTTCCTGTGTCTCCTCAGAGGACACGGTGGTGGCGGTATCAGTGACGGGGATCCTGAAGGTGTGGATGATAACTGCAGAGGTCAGCAAGATGCAGGTTTGTGGCGTTTATCTTCTCCACGCTGAATGACCCCCCCCCCTTCCACTTCCTGTCTGATGAACTCTGCTGCGTTCAGGATCTGGATCCCGTCTTTGAAGAAGAGTCCAAACCCATCTACTGCCAGGGCTGCCAGAGCATCTCCTTCTGCAGTTTCACCCAGAGCAGCCTGCTGGTGGTCTGCTCCAAGTACTGGAGGGTAGGATCCTGCAGTCTGACCCCCCCCCCCCGCCCGTAGGCCGGATAAAGAGCTCTTCCTCCGTTCTCTGTGGTAGGTGTTCGACGCCGGAGACTACTCCCTTCTCTGCTCCGTGCCCAGTGACAGCGACCAGTCGTGGAGCGGAGGAGAGTTCATCGCGGCCGATAAAGTCATCGTGTGGACCGAAGACGGCCGCAGCTACGTCTACAAGCTGCCCGCCAGGTAAGCGCGTCCGCAGCCTCTCGCAGACGAGCTCGGTTCTAGCGGCGCTGTGGATAACGCTCAGTCTCACCCTCAGCTGTCAGTCTGCCAGCGAACATTTCCGCAGCGACATCGGGAAAACCAAAGAAGGCTCCGTCCCGCCGCTGATCTACACCGTCGCCGAGTGCTCCGACAAACAGGTCAGTGTGGTTTCCAAATGGGAACGGAGCCGCCAACTGGTTCCTGCATCCAGACTGGATGTGAACAGAAAGTCTGAACTTTGATCAGGGTGAAAACGCCAGCGCTACCAGCTGGGAAAACGCCAGCTTTAGGTACAGGGAGATTCATACGCATCATCTCATCCACTGGTTCTCAAAGGGGGGGGCGTGGTCCCATTTGGGGTCATGGAACAGCAGCTCTTTGGATCCTATATAGAAATTAAAGTCATAACTCTGAAGCATATTTATGTGTTTAAAGGTATAAAAACATCAAGAAACTAAATAGGTTGTAGCCATTTATGCTAAATGTAGTTTTCTTCTTTAGTTATGTAAAATATATTTAAGTTAATTTAGAACCAAAATTAGTTATTTAAAAAAATATTTGGATTTGTTTAGATAATGTTGTTAATTGTTAGACCCTCCCATTAATTGGATTAATTAAGAACACGGCGGGTGCTGATGGACGGTTTGCTAAATGTCGGGAGGTTTTGTAAAATGATTTTTTTACCACTTTTTTAGAGCTTCAAACATTAAATTAACAGTTATTTCTGGTTTTTACTAAGTTGCAAGACATTTTTAGTGATTATTTCTTCTTTGCTTTTAATATAAATAAGCCCAGTTGGGGGTGCGTACAAAGCCAAAAACCAGCTGTTACCAACCGAGGCCTTTGTCAGACATGTTGGTATTTTTTTGGAGCAGAAGGCAACAGAATAGGTTGGATGTTGATGTGCTTCTTAATCGATTTAACAGATTTTTTTAGAAATATTTGTATTTCCAGAATTTCCACGGGTTATTAAAAATCATAAAATTTTTATTTTTTTAATTAAAATTCATTAAATGCGATTATTCTGGAGTTTAAAATGCTTTATTAAAAAAAAAAACAATTTCCTCAGATATATTATATCAGACATAAATGCTTCCGGTTGATCGTAAAGCAATATGAAGAAGCTTGAGGCTGAGAAAAAACTACAAAGGTGGAAAACGAGGAATTCGGGACATGGCTGCCGTCTGTCAATGGTAAGGAAGACAAAGGATGTTGTCGGTGTTATTTTATATATATTTATATGGAAAAAAAGTTGCTAAAACTAGCAATAAAGTCTCTGAGGATGGAACAGTGATGATGAGAGTAATGGAGGCAAACATCAGCTTCCTGAAGGTGTGGCCCCGGGGCCCTTCTTCAATACCAGGGTTCCATACCCACCCTTATTCCTCTCTGCTGCCTCTAAGAGTCAAGCAGGCCCACAGCATCACTCATCCTGGAACTAGGGCAGTTGCTTAGGGCCCCAAGTTCCTGGGGGCCCCATAAAACTCTGTTTCCAAGTACGGTTAATACAACTATTACTTATTTGTGCTCATTAATTATGTTTTTGATAAAAATCCTTTGGCTAAAATGCCATCTGTTTGATTTCTAAAAAGCTCCTAGCGCCAAATCTGGAGACTTTTTTCTGCTACTGGAGACTTTGGAGACAACATAGGGCCCCACATTTCCTAAATCCGCCCCTGGCCTTTAGAACCAGAACCCTGATCGGGTCCCGATCGGCCGTAGATCCGCTTTAATCCGCCCTCGTTAAACTGCAGGTTCAGGTCTTATTTAGATTCTCTGTTGTTTCTGTCATCGTTTGCTTTCTGTGTTTTTATGTTCTTCTTGTTTTTTTTAGTTTTGTCTGTTTTTGTTTTTTATTTCCCATCCGCTAACTGCCCCCCCCCCCCCCCCCCCCCCCCCCCACACATAAACCTGGCCCTCCTCAGTCCTCTCAGAAGGATGGAGGGGAGCAGGAGCCGGAGGTGATCTGCCTCCTCCCCAGCGGCTTCGACCCGGAGCTCTACACCCCGCAGCTGCTATACCGACACCGGCCTCTAGAGGCTCCCGTAAGCCTGAACACTTTGAGCGTCAGCAGCAGGCAACAGGAAGAATATGGAGAGATATTTGTGCCATCGGTTTGAGCGCGCAGGAACCAATCCGAGCGCGCAGTGAGACAACACGCGCGCGCGCAAAACCGGTCTGGCGCGCGCTCAACTCTGAAAAACCCTCTCAACACACTGTTCTCGCGCTCAGTTTCATCTCTGCGCGTGCTCGAATCCGTCTCTGCTCGCGCTCGCTCGACCTGCTCTCTCTCCGCGCTCGACTCTCTGCGCTCGCAACTTCAGCAATGTATGTAAATGAACCATACCATCAGCCAATCACACTCAGCTTCTTTTCATCCAATGAAAGCATTCCTTCCTTCTTCTTCTTCTTTTCTATCATGGCGGATCGCAAGCAACTTTAAGGTGCATACCGCCACCTACTGTTCATGAGTGTGTAGCAACATTGTTTTACATCTATTAAATTCTATTTTTTTATTTTGCATTCTGAAGATAACTAAATAATGCTTTCCTTAATCTATAAACATCCTTTATATTTCCTTTATTTCCCAATAATCCTTTAAGACTCCACTCTTGGCCTGTCATTTCAACTACTCTTCTCAATTTTTCCCTTTCAGGTTCATATGTTTTACAGTTCATTAATATGTAAGCATTCGTTCCAAATACTACATCCTGTTAGATGAAAAAAAAAAAAATAATAATAAATAAAAACACAATCAGGAAAATCAAACTACTCTTACAGTTATTTTGTCAACATTCCTAAGATAGTACTATAAAATATCTTGAAATATCTCAAATAAACTTCAGTAAAACAGTTATTAGATCATTGCCTCATCCATCTCTTTTACCTGCTATTGACATGGATTTAAATTTGATGTTTTAAAAGAAAAATAAGGAGGATATTTCAGGTTCCAGTATGGTTCAACAATATATAGATAAAAAATATTATGGATATGTTAAATTTTTTATGGATGCTTCAAAATATTCCAATATTAGGAATGGTGTTTTGTTTTAGTTTCAGAATTTATTTTTAAATCGGGTAAAAGAATCAGTGATGGAATTCAGCCTACAAAGGAGAAATGTTTTGGATCATATTGGCCTTACAATGGATTGAAGAAATCGTTCCATTAAGAAGTTTAGTTTGCTCTGATTTTAGATCAGCGACCGTTATATTAATTTAAACGCAATTATTCAGACAGCAGACCTGATCTGAAATTTAACAATTATTATTTAGAAGACCTTTTACAGATGGACTCTAAATAAGAGGGTTATTCTTTATTATATATATTAAAAAGAATAATTTGATAAACAGGATTTTTCAGTTGGTGGCGGTAATTGTTGTTTGCCAACCTCCATAAAAAACAACAAAAAGAAGAAACGCCCGCCACAAAAGCTAAGAGTAAGGCCAATATGATCCAAAACATTATCTATATACTGTTGAACCATACTTGAACCTGAAATATCCTCCTTATTTTTCTTTTAAAACAGCAAATTTAAATCCATGTCAATAGCAGGTAAAAGAGATGGATGAGGCAATGATCTAATAACTGTTTTACTGAAGTTTATTTGAGATAATTCAAGATATTTTATAGTACTATCTTAGGAATGTTGACAAAATAACTGTAAGAGTAGTTTGATTTTCCTGATTGTGTTTTTATTTATTTATTTATTTTTTTTTCATCTAACCGGATGTAGTATTTGGAACGAATGCTTACATATTAATGAACTGTAAAACATATGAACCTGAAAGGGAAAAATTGAGAAGAGTAGTTGAAATGACAGGCCAAGAATGGAGTCTTAAAGGATTATTGGGAAATAAAGGAAATATAAAGGATGTTTATAGATTAAGGAAAGCATTATTTAGTTATCTTCAGAATGCAAAATTAAAAAATAGAATTTAATAGATGTAAAACAATGTTGCTACACACTCATGAACAGTAGGTGGCGGTATGCACCTTAAAGTTGCTTGCGAACCGCCATGATAGAAAAGAAGAAGAAGGAAGGAATGCTTTCATTGGATGAAAAGAAGCTGGGTGTGATTGGCTGATGGTATGGTTCATTTACATACATTGCTGAAGTTGCGAGCGCAGAGAGTCGAGCGAGCGGAGAAACAGCCGAGCGCACAGCTGGTGTTTATGGCAAGCGCGTTTTTTGCGGGTTAACTTCAATTTTAACGCGACAATTCAATGCGAAATATGACCTTCTTGGCTTGCCATGTGTTGAGAGGGTTTTTCAGAGTTGAGCGCGCGCCAGACCGGTTTTGCGCGCGCGCGTGTTGTCTCACTGCGCGCTCGGATTGGTTCCTGCGCGCTCAAACCGATGGCACAAATATCTCTCCATAGAAGAAGACTCTGATTGGCTGAGCTGCAGAAAACTGATAGATAGATTAAAAAGTCAAATTCTTCTGTCAGAGGGAGATCATTGCCGCCATCTTTATCTTCCAAGAGAAGAACTTGAAGCTGATGGATGGGTGGAGCAGCCCCATGAGAAAAAGCTCTGAAACCTCACAGACTTTGAATAAAGTCCTGAATCCCAGGAAAAAAATATTTTCCTTGATTTTTCTGGTGATTTCATCCCAGTTTGTTTCCTTCTGTTGCTCCGCCTTCTTTTATTTCTGACCAAAGCTTCTGCTTGGATTCAGGCTCCAGAAGGCCCCGGGTCTGACCTCCATCCTTCTGAGACGAGGAGATTTCAAGCTTTGGCAGAACTGTGAGGAAATATTATAGGACAAGAGTTCCTGGTTCTGATTGGTGCCACTCAGGACTCCGGATGGTTCATTATTGCTGCCTTCAGGAGTTAATTTTTATAGAATCATACTGTCTTTCCTTGTGTAGTGGGGAAAAAAAAGTATTCAACTATTTACTCCAGTTAAATAAACAGAGATCGATGGATTTCACTCAGTCGGCTCTTTATCTTTGCAAATAGAGATCAGTTCATAGTTCGGTCCTTACTGCACAGTAATCAGCCCTGTTCTGCCTGAGCAGCGTTCGTTCCTCCTTAGTTACAATAATGGAAAGAAGTCAGAGTCAAAACTAATTACAGACACTTTGGTTAAACTGCAACATGTTATGAATAAACCTTGAGAAAGAATGTCTGGTCTACAGACACCCTCATGCAGGGGAATGTTGTGGCCTTACAGGGGAAACAGGCTGAGTGAAAACCTTTATAGTGAGTAGATAGCATAAATTAATATATGAAATAAGAGAAATCTAAATGTTCTGACCACACTCTGCTTGTCCTAACCTCCTAAAGTCTCCCAGCTGCAGTTTTCTGCTCCTCTGAAGCAGTTTGGTGGAGCTGCAGCTCCTCTGCAGAGGTTAGCGTCACTGCCTGCAGCTTTAGCGGCCTGATTGTTGGATGGAGCTGGTTTCAGCTTCTCTGGTGGATTTAAGCCGACATGAAACGAGCTGCTGACTCTGCAGATGAGTTTCTAAGCTGCTGAATCTGCTCCTTCCTGCTGCTGGAGCTTCTAGTTTCAGGTCTCATTTGATTGTGTTTCTCTGATAACGGCTTTTACAACTGCTGAAGCTAAAGCGGCTGAAGCAGAGGGAAGATGGATCTATCACTGAGGCGATCCTCCCTGTAGCAGTCGTCCTGGGAACCATCATCCAGAGCTGGATCAGAATTAGTTTTTTTTAATTGGATGAGCTTCTTTGAAGTTGCCTGCTGCTGATAATCAAGCCCGTTTCCTCCTTTTCCTTCCTGCGGTGTTTGAGCAGAGCTTTCTCCTCACTGGTGACTAAATGTTTTGTTGGTTTGGACAGATTTTCAGTCCATGAACTTCACCTCAGTCTTTCAGGTGGCGTGACTTTTTCTGATGGTGTCTCTAACAGCTTCCTCATCCACACACTCCGTTTCCTGCCCCTCCTCCTTCATCGCACACTTAAAACATTGTTAGATCGGACGGAAATGATCTCTGAAAGAACCCAGTTCGGGTTCTTGCCACAGATCCTCTGTTATTTTACCTCTGGACTTTGACTAGGCCGCTCCCTCCCTAACCTTAACCCTCCCTGCTGTCTCCTGCTGGAAGGTGAAGCTCCAGCCTAGTCTCAGGTCCTCTAACAGGTTTACTGTATCTGCTGAGGGAACGCATCCATCCCTACGCTATGATGCTGCCACCACCGTGCTTCAAGGCAACAAGGGTGTTTTTCTACAGCAGGTTCCACTTGACTCAGATCGTAGAGCAAAAGTGGGGCCATAAAGTTTGGACAAAAACCTTTTTTTTTTTAAACTTAATAAACTAAAAAATATTTTTGAAACAGAAAAATGTTTAAAAGTGATTTTGAGATTCACCAATTTGTGGAAGAATATTGATTTTCTGCTCTTTATAATTCAGTTATAAATCATCAAAATCTCAAAGATCAGAACTTTTTGTTTTGCGGCCGTGAATTCAACGCTGCTTTTTAATTAAAAAAAAAACTCGTCAGAAGCTCCCTTCAACCTCATTGGTTGGACCGTTTCTTTAGCTAGCAGTGCTAGCAGGTACGCCCTAATTTTCCACAGGAAATTTCACACAAATGTTCAAACTTTCCCAAGCTGATGCAGAGCGCTATGATCACTCCTCTGAAACAGTTTATTAACGCCTAAATTAACTTCAATTGTAGAAACCTGCCGGCAGAATATGTTGGCTTTTATTATCCTGCTGCCTGCAGTTTGTAGCACAGACCTGAAAAACGCTAACATCTACTTCCAGCCGCCACCAACAGGAGGGGAAAACCCCCAAGAGGCGAGCGGACAGCGGCACCAGAGCGCGGGACGTTTAGCTGCTCTCCATGCTGGAAACGCTGCAGGATACTCTGGTTTCCACGCTCAAATCGTGCCCCTTCATCGTGCCTTCTTTTAGGTAAACCAGTGATCCTGAAGCTGGAAGCACATTAGGTGTGAACGCAGCAGCAACCTGTCCTCCTGCAGGATTCTGGTTGTGGGATTGATCCCTTTTCCTCAGCAGACGCCCAATTTGGCTCCATGTTACAGCTTTTTATTTTTAATCGGGAACATCATCATTTCATGACGGCGGGGGATGCAGGCATGAGATGCGCGTCACGTTCAGATTTTTTATTTCACCTTTTTATTTCCGCGTCTTTCCGGTCTTAAAGTTTGTCGATGCAACGTAAGGAAAACGGTAAAAGTTGCATCGGTGGTGCTGGTTTGACACACTGAGGCATCCCATGGTTCTGGTTCTGCTGCCTCAGAACCAGCGACGCCGTCACTATTTGGACCTGGAACCCTGCTGATCTGGTCCCACAGCTTGTGGGAAACCCAGAACCGGACTTTGACTAGGCCCTGGGTAGAACCCGGCCTGCGGTGCAGGATTTGCTTTTCCTCCTGTTTGCTGTGTGACGCTGCAGTTTCACTTGACTTTTCTCCCTCCTTCCTGCACACTGAAGTACAGCGTCCTCATCGCTCCCCCCGCTGTCTGTCTGAGGTTGATCTCATTTCTTCTCCCCACCCTGTGTTCCCTCTCAGCTCCTGATCTGTCCTCCTGTGACTCTGTTCTTCTTCGGCCGGAGGGAACCTTTCCACAAGCTGCTGATCCAGGGAGACTCAGCGGGCCGCCTGTCGCTGTGGAGCATCCCAGACTCCTCCCCTCCTCAAACCACCGCCACTTCAGCAGGTGATGAAAGTTTGATGTTTCTTCTCATCATCCCAAACAAACTTGATCACTTCCCTGGTTTCTGCTCGAACTTCTTCATTTTCTCACCTGAAGTGAAGATTTTTTTCCTCAGTTTGATGCTGATTTCTAGGATGATTGATGGACTGATTTTGTCTGGTTCTTTGCTTAAAGTCGTAGGGAAATCATATTTAAATGTCAAATCATTCTGGCTTAAACATGTATATAAATGTTCTCTTCATCAGACCATATTGTCCCAAAATTGAGAAAATTTCTATCTTTAAAAAATCCTGTCTTAAAATCAGTTTTTTTTCGTTATCTTCTGCAGGCCAGTTAGTTCTACGTCAGCCTGAACACCTAAATTCAGCCAATCATATATCAACGGTCATCTGTCAATCAAATGTTTTCGGTCATAGCATCTTGATTCATGTGTCGCAGCTAATATACGCAACGGTTGAAATCAGAATCCTTTCCTTTCCCATTGAGTTGCGTCCCAGTGTTCACGGGGATGGACGTCTGTGTCTTCGGCAGGCGTAGAGCTAACAGAACTGGCAGCGTTGCGAGGCAAGGGCTCAAACATGTACGGCTGGAAGCCTTCTACACCAAACCAAGCTTCTGCCGCCCTGGCGTCCTCTTCCACAACATCTTCGTCCCCGCTTTCCTCCTCTAAATAAAAAATGGATGACGGAGGAGACTCATCCACGACCTCCGACACTAAACTCTCCTCCTCTTGCATGTTTCCGCTGTCCATAGCGTTCCTTGACAACGTCGTTTCTAAGGCTACGTTCATACTGCAGCCTGAAGTGACCCAATTCCGATTTTTTTGCCCATATGTGACCTGTATCAGATCTTTTTATGACAGTCTGAATGACAAAGATCGGATTTTTTCAAATGCGACCCAGGCCACTTGGATATGTGGTCCTGAATCCGATACGTATCTGATCTTTTCAAATGCGACCTGTGTCTGTACGGCCAGGTCGCATTCATCCGACCTACACGTCATTGATACTTGACAAATGTTACTAAACGTTACTAATCTGCGTCCTACTAAGCGGAGGCGGGAAAAACTAACAACCATGGCGGAAGATAACACAGAGAGCAGTCAATGGAGAGAAAGTGAGGTTGCTGACTTAATTCATATTTGGAAAGATAGCTCGATTCAGACCAAACTTGAAGGGTCTTACCGGAACCTGGCTCTCTTTCTTTTTGATCTTCTTAAAAAGATTTCGTTCGTAATGTGCCTGCTCCTGTTGGAGAAGAACTTAAAGAACGCAATATACGCTGCGGTATTACGAGTCATGTTTACTTCCGCAAACACTGAGGACGCTTGCTACATGTGACGTCATCGCGTCCTCGAGTGCGCATGCGGGACACTTCGGTTGAACGCTTTCAGTTCACACAGTAGATCACATACAAGTCGCATATACTTGGAAGTGTGAACGGACACGCAAAAAAATCCGATTTCACGAAAAAAATCGGAATTTAGCATTAAGGCCTGCAGTGTGAACGTAGCCTAAGTCACCAATTTAGTGCTACTTGGTCCCAATGAAATTTCCCATTGGGAACCTGCTAGCACTAAGATGCTAACTGGTTAGCAAGATGCTTCCAACAAACCGGCCAGAACCAAACTTGCTTGTGAACTTTCTACCACAACAATCCCGCCCCCTTGATAAACGACCAATCACATTCGCTTTATTCACTCGTGTAAAGTCGGGCACCACTCTGGAGAATTTGGAAATGCAACGGTTGGAACGGCCGCTTCTCTATGACTTTAATTGGTTCAGATCTGTGGGGTTCCTCAAGGCTCCATTCTTAGACCCCTTTTATTCTTCACCTTACCTCAGATTCTGCATCGCTGTAAGATCTCTGCTAACTGGGATGAAAAACAACCTGGTCATCCCGCGTCTCCATGTGACGCCACTCCTCATGCCCCTGTCACACCTTTACGATTTAGACCAGCTTATGCCTGACATACAAAAAATCTGGCTAAAAAGCTAGCATATTTCGGATAAGTAATGGATGCGTTTTGTGTTATGAGCACGCTGAAGTATGGTGGAACATGTGGACATACGGCGAGTACGTGGAGGAATTTTGAGCGTGCTCCAAACTGCTGCATCCACAGTCCTGAACAGATCCTTTTAAAACCATGTTTGTGTTTTTCACATCCAGTACAGTTTGTGTTTAAATGCAGTCAGCTCTGAACCATGCAGGTCATTTTGGGCCTTGGTCCTTTTCCCAGGAACAGAACTGAACCAGAAGCCACTCGGCTCTGGAACGAACTTCCAGAACTTTCCACAAACTGTTGGTTCTAAAGTTTAGCCTAAAAAGCACAACGTTTGCAGCTCAGATTTATCTGACATTTCAATGCATGTGAATTCATACAAATGAAAAAAATAGATTTTAATTTAGTGTAGAAAAATAAATCAATAGAAAAGAATGAAATGGATGATAATAAATCAGCTTCTTTGTTTTTAAATCTCAGTTTTTGTCTTGATTTGATGTCTTTGTGTTTAAATAACCTTTCAGATTAGGGATTCATGTCAGGTAAACGATTGTAAAATCTCTGAACCTTTTAGTTGAGCGACATCTGGTGGACAAATGACGGTACTACAGATGGTAAACACTACTAGAACCGATAGCAGTGTGTGTTAGATTGTTGCTTCATCATCAGGCTCATTCAAATGTTTTCCAAATGATTTTTTTTAGGATAGAAAAACTTTGGCTGTTTTGCTTTAATGTTCGACCTTCTGCCTGTTAGTAGATGCATGTAACCAACATCTGCTGTGGTCGGGTCCCTGTGTGCGCAGAGCTGCAGGTGTCGTCTACCATCAGCCTGCAGGAGGCGTTTGATAAGCTGACCCCCGTCTCCTCCGGGATCATCGACCAGCTGAGCGTGCTTCCAAACAAAGAACAACCCATCAAGGTTCCTCCTCACTCTAAGAGCAGATCTACGTTTTATCTCGGTGTTTTGTTGCTGAGCTGCTGTCTGTCCTCAGGTTACGGCCAGCGTTTACATCCCGTCTCAGGGCCGGCTGGTGTGCGGCAGAGAGGACGGCAGCATCGTCCTCGTTCCCGCCACGCAGACGGCCATCGTGCAGCTCCTGCAGGGGGAGCACATGCTCCGGAGAGGTGAGGAGGGGGAGGGATCCCTAGAGTAATGCTAATGTCATTGTTTTTATTTTAGAAAATGATCATATTCTAGGTTTCTCTCTTTCTCCTCAGCTCTAATCTCATCTCCCCTCCACTTGTCTGTCCTGCAGGCTGGCCCCCCCACCGGACCCTGCGGGGCCACCGCAACAAGGTGACCTGCGTCCTGTATCCGTACCAGGTGTCCCCCCGTTACGACCAGCGCTCCCTGGTGTCGGGGGGAGTGGACTTCTCTGTGATCGTTTGGGACATTTTCACCGGAGAGATGAAACACATCTTCTGCGTTCATGGAGGGGAGATCACCCAGCTGATCGTTCCCCCAGAAAACTGCAGTGTAAGACAGAGACGTCTTTTACTTCCTGATGCGTCCTCTGTCTGCAGCGTTAGCGCTCTGACAGAGGAACAAAACCTACTGGGGCAAGAAAAATAACTTTTTCCAGCAGTAAACATTTGCTGCTGTGTTTTTTTTTTTTTTTTATATTAACATTTTTATTGAGAGAGCACATTACAATACAACTACATACATATACTCTTTATATTCGTATTTTTACATGCTTTCTCTGTTTTCTAATTTTAACTCGAGAAAAAAGAAAACCGAACACACACGCACACAAAAAAACAAAAACTGGGAGTGGCGGGGCAGCCTGAATATCAACTAAAAAGCACAAATCAAGTTAGACCATAAATCTGAATAACAGCAAGGTTTATAAAGAAAACTCAGGTATAACAGGTTTGACATATTCTGTCCACTTGGACCATATCTTGTAGAAAGTGTCTCTCTGCACATTGATGGAAAAAGACAGTCTCTCCAGTGCATACATCTCTTTCACTACACTTATCCAGTCATCAATTGTTGGAGGTTCCCGTTTAAGCCATTTTCTTGTGAGGGCCTTTTTGCTCCCGGCCAGTAAAATGAACAGAAGTTTCTAATCATTGTGGTTCAGTTTGTCTACCGGGATGTTACATAAAAATATGCATTCAAAAGTTAAAGGAAATTTAGCTGAGAATACGTTCTGTAAATGTTCATGGATTTTAGACCAATATTGCTGAATCACTTGGCAGTCCCAGAAAACATGGAAATGATTGGCACCATCCCTTCCACACCTCCAGCAGGTATCACCCCTCCCCCGATATCGTTTCTGCTTTGGGGTTATAAAAAATCTTATAATATTCTTCCAGCAGAATTCACGCCAAACCTTCGATCTTGTTATTGTCCATGGTATCTTACAGATCTGGTCCCAATCTTCTTCTGAAATCGACAGGCTGGCTTCCTTTTCCCATTTCACTTTAACATAATCAGTGCTGTCCTTTTTACACCGCAGGATGGCGTCGTATAACCTGGAGATAATTTTGCTGCTGTGTTTTATTGCGGTTCTTATAAATAGATTTTTAATGGTTTTATTTTTGCCAATAACTGGTTTAAGAGCTAATGGTGAAGGAACCTGAAGCCCTTCTGCTGTCCTCAGCTCCTCATGCAGCTCCTCCTGCTGTCTCCTCCCTGCAGACCCGTGTGCAGCACTGCGTTTGCTCTGTGGCCAGCGACCACTCTGTGGGACTGCTCAGCCTACGGGAGAGGAAGTGCATCATGCTGGCGTCCCGACACCTGTTCCCCATCCAGGTCATCAAGTGGCGCCCTGCTGACGACTACCTGGTGGTGGGATGCTCTGACGGCTCCGTCTACGTCTGGCAGATGGACACAGGTGAGCTCAGTCCGGTTCTGATCTGCCCCGGAAGATGAATTAAATTCTAATGGCAGCCGTTTGATCAGACAGGTTTTTGGCTTCATATGTTCAGTAAAAGTTATGGCAGCAGCTGCTTTCTATAAAGGAGCTGTTTCTCACAATTCAGACTTTCTCCTGTTAGAAACGCGACTTTGGAAAAACGGCTGGAAAAACCTCAAATCAAGAGGCGCTTTGCTCCTGCTGCATTTGCATAATTCCTTGATAAATGCTAACGTTAGCATTCTTGCTATCACCATGCTAACGTTAGCCATCCTTGCTATCACAATGTTACAGGTCCGATTGGGTTTTTTTCCTGTTAATACAACTTTAACTCTACACAACACAGACTTATGGTTGCTGTGTTCAAGAGGAAAAGAAAACTGAAGCAGAGTTAATTTTCCAATCTTTATTGTATATAAATAAAATACAACTATCTAAACTTTAATAGAAATAGTAACATACAGGAAGTGAAAAGAAACTAACAAAATAAATGGAAAGTTGTTAGTCCACCCTCACAGGTACTCAAACAATTCAACCTGAGCGGACTAACAAAAATAACCAAAAGGGGGAAAAAAATCAAACTTTAAAGGACAGCAGGAAGCAGTTACAACCCTGTCAAAACAAAAATACAAATTACTAAATGCTCTTTAAAACACTCAAAAAAGTAGAACAATATTAAAACACTGCTTACCTGCATCACTTAAAACAGTAAATGTTAAAGCTAAAAGCCTACCTGTGGCGTTGAACAATCACACGCCCTGGTAAAATTACTGCCAGAACACCAATAATGCAGACCTGTATAAAAAACACCAAATCACCACCAACTTATTGTAGAGGATAAACTCAAAACACAATTCACCTCCCAACATACCCCAGCCAACAGCATGGATCCACCACACCCCTGGTCCCAGACACAGGAAGTGAACTTCTGGCTACTACCCTTCCTGCTTCCCCTTTTATAGAAGCTCAGGCTAAGGAGAGTGACACCTACTGGTGCCACCTGTTACATTCAGCATCCTTGCTATCACCACGCTAACGTTAGCCATCCTTCCTATCAACAATCTAACATTAGCCATTAGCCATCCTTGCTAACATTAGCCATCAGTATGCTAACATTAGCCATCCTTGCTATCACCATGCTAACATTAGCCATTAGCCATCCTAGCCATCAGTATGCTAACATTAGCCATTAGCCATCCTAGCCATCAGTATGCTAACATTAGCCATTAGCCATCCTAGCCATCAATATGCTAACATTAGCCATCCTAGCCATCAATATGCTAACATTAGCCATCCTAGCCATCAGTATGCTAACATTTGCCCTTAGCCATCCTAGCCATCAATATGCTAACATTAGCCATCCTAGTCATCAGTATGCGAACATTAGCCATTAGCCATCCTAGCCATCAGTATGCTAACATTAGCCATTAGCCATCCTAGCCATCAGTATGCTAACATTAGCCATCCTATCCATCAGTATGCTAACATTAGCCATTAGCCATCCTAGCCATCACTATGCTAACATTAGCCATCCTAGCCATCAATATGCTAACATTAGCCATCCTAGCCATCAGTATGCTAAAATTTGCCCTTAGCCATCCTAGCCATCAATATGCTAACATTAGCCATCCTAGCCATCAGTATGCTAACATTAGCCATTAGCCATCCTAGCCATCAATATCCTAAACATTAGCCAACCTAGCCATCAATATACTAACATTAGCCACCCTAGTCATCAGTATGCGAACATTAGCCATTAGCTATCCTAGCCATCAGTATGCTAACATTAGCCATTAGCCATCCTAGCCATCAGTATGCTAACATTAGCCATCCTATCCATCAGTATGCTAACATTAGCCATCCTAGCCATCACTATGCTAACATTAGCCATCCTAGCCATCAATATGCTAACATTAGCCATCCTAGCCATCAGTATGCTAACATTTGCCCTTAGCCATCCTAGCCATCAATATGCTAACATTAGCCATCCTAGTCATCAGTATGCGAACATTAGCCATCCTAGCCATCAGTATGCTAACATTAGCCATTAGCCATCCTAGCCATCAATATCCTAAACATTAGCCATCCTAGCCATCAATATACTAACATTAGCCATCCTAGCCATCAGTATGCTAACATTAGCCATTAGCTATCCTAGCCATCAATATGCTACCATTAGCCATCCTAGCCATCAGTATGCTAACATTAGCCATTAGCCATCCTAGCCATCAATATCCTAAACATTAGCCATCCTAGCCATCAATATGCTAACATTAGCCATCCTAGCCATCAGTATGTTAACATTAGCCATTAGCCATCCTAGCCATCCGTATGTTAACATTAGCCGTTAGCCATCCTAGCCATCAATATGCTAACATTAGCCATCCCAGTGTGAACGCCATTGTGTCCTGCTGAGATGATCCAGCTCTGAGTCTTTTGGTTCCACAGTTCCTTCCCTGTACTGCTGTTCCTGGACCAGAGGTCCGGTCACCGGTGTCTCTGTGCATCTTTAGATTCTTCTGCAGGTTCTCCTCTCTGCTGCTGTCCATCAGTAGAACCAGCAGGTTGATCCTTCTTCTGGATGTCTGACGTATTTCTAATCAGCAGGCCGCTTGCTTCCTTTGAAGGGTTTAAATCTACAGCTGGATCCTTCGGACTCTAACTGAACGTCCATGTCTTTGCTTTCAGGAGCTCTGGATCGCTGTGTGATGGGAATCACGGCTGTGGAGATCCTGAACGCCTGCGACGAGCTTGCCCCGGCAACAGTGGACGCTCTGAGTCACTCCGCCGTTAACCTAAAGCAGGCCATGACCCGCCGCAGCCTGGCGGCGCTCAAAAACATGGCCCAGCACAAGCTGCAGACCCTGGCCACCAACCTGCTGGCTGCAGACAACGCTGACAAGGTGAGAACCCGGCTGGTTCCCGACCGGAACCCAGAACTCACGCTGATGGAACCCAAACGGAACGCTTTGTTTGCTAAAGCCGTTCAATGGTCGACCCGTTCAGTGGTCGACCCGTTCAATGGTCGACCCGTTCAGTGGTCGACCCGTTCAGTGGTCGACCCGTCCAATGGTCGACCCGTCCAATGGTCGACCCGTCCAATGGTCGACCCGTTCAGTGGTCGACCCGTCCAATGGTCGACCCATCCAATGGTCGACCCGTCCAATGGTCGACCCGTCCAATGGTCGACCCGTTCAGTGGTCGACCCGTTCAATGGTCGACCCGTTCAGTGGTCGACCCGTTCAGTGGTCGACCCGTCCAGTGGTCGACCCGTTCAGTGGTCGACCCGTCCAATGGTCGACCCGTCCAATGGTCGACCCGTCCAATGGTCGACCCGTGTAATGGTTCCCTCATTGCTTCCTTTCTCCCTCCCTCGGTTACTGAGACTCTCCCTGAGGACGATCTTCTCTGTCCTCATGCTAATATTTCAGATCTTCTGGTTCTGATCTCTCCGGGTTTCTCTGCTGTCTCGCCTCCTCTGGGTTGCGGCTGTTTTTAGCTCGTCCTCGTCCACGGGTTCCTCCGTCTACGTGGGGCGATCTGATCTGTCCTGACAGAGAACTCCACCCACATCCAGGATCCCAGAGTGGAAAACAAACGGCATGAATAATTGAGTCTGAGGAGCGTTTAGCTCGGTCCCTCCTCTGATGGACGCTCTGAACTCCTCTGTCCCACCGGCTAAAACGTCAGGCTATGGAGCTGAAACCATCTGCTGCTCTCCTGGTCGTTCCTCCATGTTTAGCTCAGCGTTCCAACTCTCTACTGATCAGTCTGAACAAAATCTAGAACAGATAATGGATGTCTATTCTATTAACATTTCTCTATCTGTAGAATGGGGCTGTTCTATGTGTTGTCTTCTCCATTCAGAGGGGGCCCCTGCCTGTCTTTGCCTAGGGCCCCACATTTCCTAAATCCGCCCCTGGAAAGGACAGCTGTGCAGACATGCAGGAACATTTAGACCCTTACCTCAGACACCGTCTCTCCCTGACCCTCAACGTCATTATCTGTAGAGTCAAACCACATCTTCTGTAATGAAACCAACATATTTATAAAAAAAAAAGAAAAAGGTTATTAATGTTTTTCTTTTTTCAGATTTCTATTTTCTGAGAAAGTCCTTATTAGACCAGAATCGGAGTCAAACTTTTATACTGCTGCTTGTTGTGGCTGCAGCCTGTCAGTCAGCCGATCGCTGGAACCTTTTATTCTTTCATTTAAGATTAAACAGGAGGGGAAACGGGCAGGTGAGCAGTTTACAGCTCAGCGTGCATCCTGAGGGGGGGGGGGTGCGGTTGCCTGAAGGGCCCTGCAGGACGATGACCTTTAGATCAACATCCCGCGAGCTAGAATAAGTCAGCCTGGTCAGAAGGGCTGACAGTCCAACTGTTAACCTTTTTCCATTCGCTTTAAAATCTACTCAGAAAATGTGTTGCAGATTTAAATAATCAAAAACCTGTTTTAATCTTAGAAATAAACCTTTCAACCCAATGTTTTTCATCGTCTTCTACATTTCATGTCTCAAAAACAGTGTTGGATTGTTTACAGCAGAAACGGCAGAACTCCTCAGAACCTGCTGATCTGCATGAATGTGTAGTGCCATCGTTTGCCTGTAGATGGCACTGTTTCTCCACCGGAGATGAGCGGCGCAGACAAACAGGCTGTTGGTAAAAGAGGGAAAATGTTGCTAATCTGAGTGAATCAAAGACTTTAAGCTACTGAGATGAAGCCAAAGTAGCTGGGAGTTCATCAGCTTCCAAAAACAACAAACTCCCTCGATTTACCGGCAACCATCCAGCCGAGGTCTAATGCTGGAAGCAGCTGAGGGAGGGTCTCACCTGAAGCTCTGCTGTGTGATTTTGGCTCCTGGTCTCCCATGGGGTCCCATCCAGGCCTGCATGTTAAACGCAGGGCGCTCCTCTCCATCTAAACATCAAACATCCACTGTTTCATCTGGAGGTTTTTCAGATCTTCAGTCAGTTAATCCACATTTCAACTATAAAAAGGAGAAGAAGAAAACAACAAGTAGGAAATCTCAGAGCAGCGATGATTAAACTAATCATCATCTTTCTGGTTTTCATCATTCTTTTAAAGTTTTTTGGTATTTCAAAAAAAATAAAGGACAGGATTACGAAAACAAGCCCCCTGATTCAAAGTTCATAACGTGAAAACCCAGAGGGAAAGGTGCATAAAGAGCAGAATTAATTAATAAGATAAAAGTAAAGTTGAACTAAAACTAATTAATCTTTTACAATCAAAGGCCTCTAAATTATTTAGCTCCGTCATGTTTTCCTGAGAGTTTGTTCCAGATTAGTGGAGCAGAAGAACTAAAAGCTGCTTCTTCATGTTTGGTTCTGAACCAATAGATCTGAGAGGTCCGACTGTCGATCCCCTGCCAACCAGCCTGTAATGTGTTGTGGAGCTCAGCTGTTCAGTGATTTCTAGATTTTAAAGTCTACTCTCTGAGATACAGGGAGCCAGTGGAACCAGGCTGATGTTCTCTACTTTCTATAGTTCTAGTGAGGACGCAGGCAGCAGCGTCTGGATCAGCTGTCTGATCTACTTTCTATAGTTCTAGTGAGGACGCAGGCAGCAGCGTCTGGATCAGCTGTCTGATCTACTTTCTATAGTTCTAGTGAGGACGCAGGCAGCAGCGTCTGGATCAGCTGTCTGATCTACTTTCTATAGTTCTAGTGAGGACGCAGGCAGCAGCACCTGGATCAGCTGTCTGATCTACTTTCTATAGTTCTAGTGAGGACGCAGGCAGCAGCACCTGGATCAGCTGTCTGATCTACTTTCTATAGTTCTAGTGAGGACGCAGGCAGCAGCGTCTGGATCAGCTGTCTGATCTACTTTCTATAGTTCTAGTGAGGACGCAGGCAGCAGCGTCTGGATCAGCTGTCTGATCTACTTTCTATAGTTCTAGTGAGGACGCAGGCAGCAGCGTCTGGATCAGCTGTCTGATCTACTTTCTATAGTTCTAGTGAGGACGCAGGCAGCAGCATCTGGATCAGCTTTCTGATCTACTTTCTATAGTTCTAGTGAGGACGCAGGCAGCGGCGTCTGGATCAGCTGTCTGATCTACTTTCTATAGTTCTAGTGAGGACGCAGGCAGCGGCGTCTGGATCAGCTGTCTGATCTACTTTCTATAGTTCTAGTGAGGACGCAGGCAGCAGCGTCTGGATCAGCTGTCTGATCTACTTTCTATAGTTCTAGTGAGGACGCAGGCAGCAGCGTCTGGATCAGCTGTCTGATCTACTTTCTATAGTTCTAGTGAGGACGCAGGCAGCAGCGTCTGGATCAGCTGTCTGATCTACTTTCTATAGTTCTAGTGAGGACGCAGGCAGCAGTCTGGATCAGCTGTCTGATCTACTTTCTATAGTTCTAGTGAGGACGCAGGCAGCGGCGTCTGGATCAGCTGTCTGATCTACTTTCTATAGTTCTAGTGAGGACGCAGGGAGCAGCGTCTGGATCAGCTGTCTGATCTACTTTCTATAGTTCTAGTGAGGACGCAGGCAGCAGCGTCTGGATCAGCTGTCTGATCTACTTTCTATAGTTCTAGTGAGGACGCAGGCAGCAGCGTCTGGATCAGCTGTCTGATCTACTTTCTATAGTTCTAGTGAGGACGCAGGCAGCAGCGTCTGGATCAGCTGTCTGATCTACTTTCTATAGTTCTAGTGAGGACGCAGGCAGCAGCGTCTGGATCAGCTGTCTGATCTACTTTCTATAGTTCTAGTGAGGACGCAGGCAGCAGCGTCTGGATCAGCTGTCTGATCTACTTTCTATAGTTCTAGTGAGGACGCAGGCAGCAGCATCTGGATCAGCTGTCTGATCTACTTTCTATAGTTCTAGTGAGGACGCAGGCAGCAGCGTCTGGATCAGCTGTCTGATCTACTTTCTATAGTTCTAGTGAGGACGCAGGCAGCAGCGTCTGGATCAGCTGTCTGATCTACTTTCTATAGTTCTAGTGAGGACGCAGGCAGCAGCGTCTGGATCAGCTGTCTGATCTACTTTCTATAGTTCTAGTGAGGACGCAGGCAGCAGGCGTCTGGATCAGCTGTCTGATCTACTTTCTATAGTTCTAGTGAGGACGCAGGCAGCAGCGTCTGGATCAGCTGTCTGATCTACTTTCTATAGTTCTAGTGAGGACGCAGGCAGCAGCGTCTGGATCAGCTGTCTGATCTACTTTCTATAGTTCTAGTGAGGACGCAGGCAGCAGCGTCTGGATCAGCTGTCTGATCTACTTTCTATAGTTCTAGTGAGGACGCAGGCAGCAGCGTCTGGATCAGCTGTCTGATCTACTTTCTATAGTTCTAGTGAGGACGCAGGCAGCAGCGTCTGGATCAGCTGTCTGATCTACTTTCTATAGTTCTAGTGAGGACGCAGGCAGCAGCGTCTGGATCAGCTGTCTGATCTACTTTCTATAGTTCTAGTGAGGACGCAGGCAGCAGCGTCTGGATCAGCTGTCTGATCTACTTTCTATAGTTCTAGTGAGGACGCAGGCAGCAGCGTCTGGATCAGCTGTCTGATCTACTTTCTATAGTTCTAGTGAGGACGCAGGCAGCAGCGTCTGGATCAGCTGTCTGATCTACTTTCTATAGTTCTAGTGAGGACGCAGGCAGCAGCGTCTGGATCAGCTGTCTGATCTACTTTCTATAGTTCTAGTGAGGACGCAGGCAGCAGCGTCTGGATCAGCTGTCTGATCTACTTTCTATAGTTCTAGTGAGGACGCAGGCAGCAGCGTCTGGATCAGCTGTCTGATCTACTTTCTATAGTTCTAGTGAGGACGCAGGCAGCAGCGTCTGGATCAGCTGTCTGATCTACTTTCTATAGTTCTAGTGAGGACGCAGGCAGCAGCGTCTGGATCAGCTGTCTGATCTACTTTCTATAGTTCTAGTGAGGACGCAGG